TCTATTCGACTTGTGATTTCATCTCGGTTATTTGATCTTGGCTCTAGCCAAATCATTTCTCTGACTCATGATTCTGTTTCGATCAGTCATTTTCGACCTTCACTTAATCCTAGTCATTTTATCTATTCGACTCGCAGTTTCATCTCGGTCATTAATCTAGGCTCTAGCCAAATCATTTCTCTATCTCGCAATTCCATCTCAATCAATCATTTTAGACCTCAACTTGGTTCTAGTTGCTTTATCTATTTGACTCACAGTTTCATCCTAATCATTCGATCTCAGCTCCGACCAGATCATTTCTTGACTCGTGATTTCATCTCGATCAGTCATTTTTTACCTAAACTCAATCTTGGTCGTTTTATCAATTTGACTCGTAATTTTGTCCTAGTCATTTGATCTTGGCTTTGGCTAGATCATTTTTCTTAATCGCGGTTCTATCTCGATCGATCATCTTTGACCTTGGCTCAATTTTGATCGCTTTATCTATTCGACTCGTGGTTTTATCTTGGTCATTCGATCTAGACTCCAGCTAGATCATTTCTCTGACTCGCGGTTCTGTCTCAGTCAATCATCATCAACCTCAACTCAATCCTGGTCATTTTATCTATTCAATTCATAGTTTCATCCCAATCATTCGATCTCGACTTTGGCTAGATCATTTCTCTAGCTCACAGTTCTATCACAGTTAGTCATTTTTAACATCGACTTGATCCTGGTCACTTTATATATTTGACTCACAGGTTCATCCTGGTCATTCGATCTTAGTTTAGTCCAGATTATTTTTTGACTCACGGTTCTGTCTCAATCAATCATCTTTGACTTTGACTCAATCATGGTCGTTTTATTTATTTGACTCGCGATTTCATCATGATCATTTGATCTCGGCTCTAGCCAGATCATTTTTTTGACTCATAATTTCGTTTCGATTAGTTATCTTCGACCTTGACTCAGTATTGATCACTTTATCTATTCGACTAGTGGTTTCATCCCGATCATTCAATCTTGGTTCAATCCAGATCATTTTTTGACTTACAGTTCAGTTTCGATCATTTCTACTTATTGAGTTGACTCTTTGAACAATATGGGTATTTACGTCTTTGCATCATCCCTGTATAATCGGAATATGCAAAAAGGGATAGCTGCAAATACCCATTTGTGTCCGAGGTCAATCAGACAGTGTCCAAGGTCAATTGAATCATGTTTTATTATTTTTGTTATATCATATTATACTATAGTATTATTATCATATTATTATTATTAGTATATTATATTATATTATAATATATTATGGTACTATATTATACTATATCATATTATTATTATTATTATTATTACATTATAATTATTATTGTTATTTTATTTTATTTTCTTTCTTCTTTCTTTTCTTGTTTCGAATCTAGCGGGGATTTAGAAAACTGAAGTTTGATCAAAAGGATTCAACTCAGTCAAAGGATTTATTGCATAATCGGGGTTACAGACTCAACCCACAAAATCAGTGAGGAACCTAAACCTAATTTGGGGTTCGGGCATAATCTAATTCTAGGATTCAAGCCTGAGAGTGATTCTATCCATTTCTTAAATTTGTTCTAAAGCTGCCTATAAATTGCACAAACATTACAAAAAACACACATAGTGAATGGATTTGGGGGAAAATTTTGGGTGAAAATCAGACTGTTATGTTAGAGACAGTTTCTAGGTAGCAATGGATTTCTAAGGTTTTGATTTTTGAAATTTTGGGTTTGTTTCGAGGTTTTTGGTTAGGATTTAAGTTCTTGGATCAGGTTTAAATTTTTCCAAGGATCTTGGAAGAATTTTAAAAAATGGGAATTTCTGGAATTTTTTCTAGAAAACTAGGTTTTTGGGTATGAACATGAATTTTTTGACGAGTTTTTCGACCAAGATTTGAATTTTTCGACCAGATTTCCAAAAATCAGCGGGCATTTTTTAGTTTTCGGGTGATGTTCTTGGGCTGTTCTTAAAATCCTAGAGAGAAGACAAAGAAAACAAGGTTATAGAGAGAGAGAGGGCAGAGGTTTCTGAAGCAAAAAACGTTAAGAGGTACTTTTCATAGCAACCCAAAATGGTGTCGTTTTGGATAATCCAAGATCTGCACGCTGACCCATTTGCAAACTCACACTCTGACCCAACCCGATCACAAGGTTTTCCTTTTTCATTTCATTTTATTTTTCCATTTAATTTTTTATTTATTTTATTGTCTTAATTTTTTATTTTATTTTTTGTTTTTTATTTAATTTCACTATTTTTTCTCTAAAAAAATAAAAAATAAAAAATATTTTCTTTCTGAAAAACAAAAGAAGCAAAAATAAAATAAAAATAGAATTTCAAATAAAAATCTTACAAAATAAATTCATGAATTCTACCAAACTACTAGAGAATTTTTATGGATTTAATTTTTAAAATGGAATCCACCAAACTATTGAAAATTTTCATAAATCATTTTCTTAAAAAAAATTAATAATAAAAAATAATTTTATCCTTTAAACTATTTGAGGATTACTTCAAATTAAGTCTTACCAAACTATTGGGAGACTTAATGAAATTCTCAAAGGTTTTTACAAATCTTTTTACAATAAAATCTTGCCAAATTATCGAGAGATTTACTAATTTTCTTGAATAAGATATTTCAATAAATCCGACGACGGAACCTCTTCAGAGTAGGACACTAGTCTCTATGAATACTTTTAAGGTGAGAGAATTATCTTAAACTATTAGCAAACTTTGGGACAACTTTAAGACTAATTTTCAATATTTAATATTTCGATAAAGCATAAACATTTTTAAGGCTTGTTTAATTTGGAATCAAACTGGTATCATATTTGAGAAAGGCGCTGTGCAGGTGCTATAACCTTCCTCACGTGTAACCATACTCCCAAACCTAAATCTGATTTCATGGATCAGATTCAATCAGGTGGCCAATCACATCTAAACAAAAACATTTGTGGTAACTCCTCTTATCCATGTCTAGTGGTAGATCCACGAATCTATACGTTATGACATTACACTAAGTCCTTTGACTATTAAAGCTTTAAAGAAATCATGTCCAAATTTGGTGAACTAACAGAGCAATTCCATCCATGAAAGTTGAAAGATGAAAGATACAGCATGATCGCCAAACAAAGCTACCGCATACCCCATATTTTAAAAAGGTTTAGTTGCAAAAAGTGACCAACTCTAGCTTTTAGCCCTAAGTTAATTGCCCTCGAAAATTCAAATCAAAAATGGTGGCCCTCCCATTTTTGCAACTGCAAGAACTATCCATTCAAAATTGAACTGAAAAGTGAAACAATAAAAAGGGTCCTCAAGCCAACTCTTGTCAATTCCAGTTGAGCGAACAGCAAAATATTTTTGACTTTAGGTCAATTCAAAATTTACAATCTATGGGTGTAAATGATACATTAGTAGTCGTAAGCTACTCGGGTTCGATTCGAACAAAACTTGAATTCGGCTCGATTATTATCGAGTCAAGCTCGAGCTCAAGTACCTCGACACATCGATTGAGCCAAGTTCAAATATTCTTATATTCGGCTTGAGTAACTCTCGAGCCTAATCGAGTTTTTATATTTAAATATTTTTTTATTTTAATTAATAAAATATCTTGAACTTGAACTCGAGCTCGAGCATAAATAATCGAGCTTTTATCGAATATAAGAATTGAATTTATTTTTACATATTAATCGAGTCTAATCAAGCAAGTTATAGTAACTCAATTTCTATCTTGAGTTAAGCTCGAACTAAAAAAATAAAACTCGATCAAGTTTAAGTCAAGTTTTGAGTATTAAATTTCGAATCGAGATCAAATTCGAATTCGAATTCACACTTAATACTATATCGATTTGAGCTGGATCAATTATACTCATATCACAATCCATATTGGCTTTCAGGCCCGACACTCCGGCAATGACACAGCGTTGGCATCACATTGGGGATCTAAATTTTGTGGCAATCCAACCTAACAATTTTAACATACAAAAGTAGAACCAAAAAAATCTAATATTCCAGACAATAACACATAGCAGCTCTAACTTTCTGCTACAATTTCCTGTCTAATACCCAGCAAGGCAAATCTTAATTTAATGAAGCCCAAATTTACGGTTCCAAGGAATCTAGACTTGCAAGGAAAAGCCCTTCCCAGCCCGTCTCTTGCCCAGATTCCTCTCCTTTCAAAATTATTACTTATTATTTACCCAAACAAGCCCTACACTGCACCCCCACAGCAAAATCGATGTCGCAATTCGTGGACGCTCTTACTTTTCTTAAAATTATTATTATATTAAATTATACTACTCCTATTACTGTATACCAACGCATGCTTCTACAAAAAATATTGGCATTTGGCTTGCTGGATTTTATAGAAAATTTTCAGGGCTTTTTAATTAAAGGTTTCAGAGCTGTATGCTCTGATTTGAAGGAGTTTCATCATGGTTTCCTTAAGTTAAGACGTGGAAAACTTGGCCCGAAGGAAATTGAAATTGCAGAGTATACTTTTTTTTATAATATGATCAAAGACCCATCGTCAGCGGTTTTAACTCCAACAAAATAAATATTGACTTCTATACTCCACTTTCTTATGGCAATCACATGACATGCTGCTGCAACTAAATTTGGGTCATGGGTTGGACCATGGACACAGTTCTGTTAGCCAACCTCCCTTTTTTTCTTTGATCTTTGTTTCCCTAGGTTCCATATCCATTCAACCAAAAAATCAATGACCTCTCAAGTTTTCAGATCTGGGAAGGGAACTGGGTTTAGAAACAAAGTTTTCATTATATGAAGTGCACCCAACAAAGTCTCCAGAATGATTGATTCTTGTAGGAGTAATTTATTACATATATTTGGCAATTCGTTATTGACCAAAGATTCAGATAAACAAATTTAACAAGTTTGTCGTTCTTGGGGTTACATCACTTACCCATTAGGCCATGAACCATTTGTGATTTATATTTTGTAGTTTTCTGCTAAAAAAATATGATTGAACATGGGAAAGGGAACAAATAAATTTTAACTCTGGTACTCAAATTCCATTTGTTCCTTTCGTCACTCTTTTACCATCTACCTAAATCAGATTTCAAACTCATTATCCTTATTCACTCCAGGTTCAAACAAAGATTTCTATCTAGAAAACACTCTTTGAAGAAACAAGGGAGGATCTTTGCGTCTTGCTCCCAAGTCCAACCAGAATCCATGGCAAAATCCACTTCAGCTTCAAACATTCCCACAATAATAAACTTACGCCAATCAAGTTTTAAAGAAAGCCAAGTTACAACGTAAAACCAAAACTTACCTTTCCACCACCGGGGAACACTTGGACTAGCACTACCACAAAGTTCATTCAGGTTTTGTTTCCAGTAGTATAAAGTTCTAATCTGAGAGGGCTGAAAGGTTAGTGCAAAAAACCTTACACCACAGCAGGGGGAAAGAGCGCCCCATGCCGAACAAGCTTAAGTGGCACCAATCTAGCACAAAATGGAAATAAATATACTTATCTCTCATAATGAAAACTAACACAATGAATTAATAAAAATGAGACGAGTAATTCTCACGAATTACAAACCCAGCAACAATATTTTATCGAATTATATACAGATAATAATTGTAACCAAAAAAAAAAAAACAATATGATTCTGAGTATTAAGTGCTGTCAAATATCTAAACAACTTTCCTACTTTATATACACTTTCTGACCCATATCAGTACTACAAGTTCTGTTGTGTCAGAGAGACTAATCGTAATGGACTCCTTAATCTAAGATTAGCACCATGAAGTGTGCGATAATCTTCATCCCCTTGGCCTTGGTTAGTAAGCTGCCTCCAGGTCACACGCGGAGATAAAAACTCCACCATGAGATAGCTTTTGTTAGTAAAAATGTCAGTATGACGGCAGCGCCATAGAAATTTCAAAATTGTGGTCAAACTTTTGGCTTTCCATGCGGCAATGCTGTTACTTCATTTTACCCAGTAAAAGGGACAATTTAACCATCACAGAAGAACAATAAGGTTACATCCCCATTTGTTGGCATGGTTCTTTACAAAACCCTGAATAGGAAACTGAGCCATTGTAGTTCAGTGATCCCTCTTGCTTTTCTTCAGCAGCATCGACATGTGATTGAAATAATCATGGCCCGTCTTGGTACCACCGATCAGCCATTTCAGAGCCTCAGCTGCAGCATCTTTTTCTGCGCTCTTCTTGTTGTTCCAAGGCTGCCCCATGATTTGCATACCATTGAACTCGACAGTGGCTCTGAACTGATTGTTTTTCAATTGCTTTGTCTTATAGGTTGGCGCCGCATATCCTGCCCTAGTGAGCAGTGTTTGGAGCTGACTTTTAGAATTATCACCTCCCGGCCCACTCTCTGTCCTTGAAACCAAAGTAGGCTGTGGTGGCATAACAGGCATTGTTGATGGTTTAAGGTCCTGACGGCCAAATACAAATCTTCCATCACACTGATCCTCAGAAACCAGCAACCTAACAGCAGAAATGAGCTCGTGGTGGAAATGTAGGACCATTTGGGGATTCAGTAACTGCCCAAATTCACCATGGTCGATTAGCAGGAATGAATTTATTAAAATTGTTAAGATCTATAAATTAGCCAGAATGGAAGATGTTTATATTCAAGCAAGAGCTCAAAGATTTTGCCATAGGGGGGAAAGTTCCATAGGAAATAAAGGAGACAACAGAAACAAAATAAGCAGAATAGCACCAGCAGAGGCAAGATTGGTTTGTCTCTCTGAGTTTAACTTACTTTATTTTGAATCAGCTCGTCAAATTCTCTCCTTAAGCTTTGAAATTTTTCTGCTATAGCAGGTTGCATGAAAAATTCCAAATAGCCTCCCAACATCTTCAAGTGTCCATCCTGTTAGAGCAAGAACATAATTTCACTAAACCACTATGAAAATAATTCCACCAAGCTGCAGCCATTAAAAAAATTTTAAACAAAAGAAAAATAGATAGAGAACATATGACTTGAAGAGACAAAATCTAGTAGTAATTATAGAGAGCTTACAACATTTCCTCGTGAGATGCTACCACCAAATAGGAGAAGTACTGAATCAGACACAGCTGTTGAATCCCGCAGGAAAATGGAGTTCACTTTTATCTTCTCATTGAAAACCAGCCAAGGATATGGAATTCTAGATTCCCGAGCATTAACGGAGTTCTATGAAAAATTTACATTATCACATGAACACTAATACCGAAAGAAACCGAGTACACTGACTAACTTACTGATAGAGTAATTAGCAGCAGAAAATCAATAACTCGAAGCACACTTACTGAGTATAGAAGCACCGGCCCATCCTCCATAGTTTTTAGTGAAAATGATTTCTCATTATGCTGCACATGAGGCTAATAATTATGGAAAATTATTAAAAAATTAAAAAAAAGGGAAACTGAATACGAACTGCAAATTAAAGGAAACAGTTAACAAAATCATTCGGTCTCTTAAGCTCAAAGCAGAGGATTATCCTTGTGAAGTTCTCTTAATCAGAATGCCAAGTAAACCTTATGAGCTCCCCCAGTTTGATGAGGTTGGAGTTAATTGAAAAAACACAAGGAGAAATAAACTAAAAACTCACCACAACAGAGCAAATGCCAGGGTACAGCCCATAACAAATAATTGCTCGGATAAGATGCTGATCATAGCTCCAGGTATTACAGCTAGTTGCATTGCCATCAATAAGACCAGTACCCTTGAGCAATGAAAGGAACTCCACCCTAAGTGAATCAATGGCCTTCATTGATTGTGCAGAAAGAAAATTTTTCCAGCAATAATCATATCCAGCAAGGTCTTTCTCAGCTTCTTTCCAGCCCTCATAGGCACGAACAAGTGCAAGGTGGTCACTGTAATCACGGGAAAACTGCAACTTTGCAGTCTCTGCAAGCTGCAAGGAGGATAAAAGATTGTAATATTCAGTCTAATATTAGGAGCTTTATTGGCAAGTTCCTTTAACATTCATTCAATGTAATTCTGTCTCCAAGTCTTCTGGTTATTTTACTTTGTAGATGATTTTTGGACAATTATGGTTTTACTACTTTAAAATTGTTCCTAAGCATGTCTTGCTGGAATTTAACTCGCAACCATGCTGGTGGATTAAACTTGGAGCAAGTGGCAAGGTTTTTGGGTTAACTACGCATCATGGCATCTCATAGAGTTTACCTAGGTGGCTCAGTATGGAGTTGATAAAACTTTTTCTCCTTAACCTTTCTCTAGAGTATAAGAGTTCCTACCATGTATCCTATTCCACAGATGGTTTTCCACCACATTTGTTAACTGTCACCAGAGAATTCCTTCTTCTTAACCGTTACTTCAGAATTCATTCTCCACCCCTTTAATGAGAAATGGGTTGGCATCTTTCTATTGGCTATATAATTACAGCTCTAATCTATGTATAAGGTCTACAATACTCAATTTTGTGGAGCAAGCAAGTTACATACAAATAATCTCTATTCTCTTCCCAGTACTAGTTTACCCCTTCCCACACACCACTCCAGCCACACCATATTTTTGTTCCTATTTTCCACATGCAGCTCTGGATATTTCTTCCCGAGTTGTTATTCCTACTACCCACTTTCTGCTTACTATCTTTCCCACGTGTCATAGCACTCCATGAACTAGAGTCTGCTCCAGTCCTTTCTGCCAATCCTACTTCATCCTATTTCATTCATTTGTGACACTACCTCACAGCTCGTCAGAAGGACCCTCTATAATTTTTAAACTCATTTGAACATTAAGGGTCCTGTTAATAATACTTACTACACAGTTGAGCAATTGACTTTTAAAATATTAAAAAGCAAAAAACAGTCAAAAGCAAAACACCATACTGCTTGACGATCAATCCATACAAAAGACTGGCAAGTTCTTAGCAGCTATTTATCTCCTATAAATAACTAACAACCCAGTATCGGCCTAGCAATTGTTACCCATCTCCTGTCAGACTTATATGTACCAAAAACAAAGAAGGACTAATCAAGAGCAAAAGACTTTACTAGCCAAGTGGATCTGTAACTTCATAAGCCATGGCCGTCATAAGAAGCCTTAAAATTCTTCTTTGTTATTCAAATTTGAAGCTTAAACAACAACTTTCCAAATGATTAACAGCAAGTTCTTAGGATATAACTAAAAGGAAAATTTTAACAAATGCACACTTGTCTGGTTTTGGTAGACTGTTTGCAGTTCAAATATTAATAAATCATAAAGCTACGACATTTTAAGTCAAACTAAATTTCTTAGATACACCATATGAATTGAGCTTCTGACCATTCAACATGATATGAAGTTCATGTTGTCTGCATAAGATTTTCCTCACCTTTCATTTATAGGGAAATGATGCACCACCTTGGGAATAACAGGTTACAATCCAATTGTTGTGTGTGTTTCTCTGGTTATTCTCATTGTTTCATTTTGCATTTCTCTAGTTACAGTCTTCTCGTTTTATTCTGAGTTTTTTCTAGCATCAATATTTGGTTCAGTGAAGTAATGTTTATTTGAGCAGCATTTGGTTGGAAGCTCAATAGATGTTTGTTCACTCTGCTCTTATTAAATTGCTTCTTTGCTCCTTAGGTTGAGACCTTTAGAAGTGATATGTTCTGCTTACATTTAAGTGATCAATCAAGTAGTGATGATGGTAACTACCAAAAGGAGAAGGCAACATAAGCAGCTACCAGCACAATAACAGGAGGTTTACTAGTACTTTATTATGCAATCACATCCGATTCTTCTATTTAAACAAACAATAAAATGATAAATCCTGTTTGGTCAAACAATCAATCTTTAAGTAATCCACTTACACATTATCAACTTTCTTTTTATCAACTACTAATCTTATATTTTTATTTTTTATTTGCAGTCAGAAAATCTTTTTCTTTTCTTGTTTTCATGCACTTACTGCTATTAAAAACCGAGAAAAAACACTTATTTACAGCTAATTGTAATATTGTACTCTGTATATTATATTTGTATCTCTTAAATAAAGTATTTGCATCCCTAGAATTAAAAATAAAAATTAGAATAGACAATCCCTCAATTATAGGATCAATTTTTAAAAAGATATAGCTTTCTAATTTACCTACTAGTTAATTGTATATAAATCTAAGGTGCTTGTATAATTCTTTATGAGCAATTTTTCAATATACATTCAGTTTTACTCTTAGTTTTTCACACAATTTTATTTCTTAGTTTTTTCATATGGTATCAGAACTTTAGGCTCTTCTTGAGAAGCAAAATTTTCAGCCTTCATTGTTGACTTCTATTTTAGGCCTTCATTGCCGAACCCTATTAAGGCCTTCATAGCCATTTTATTTTTCCTTTCTTTAGCCTTCATTGCTAAGAGTCATTTCTGATTATATCTTAAGACTTGTTTTAGTTCAAAGAAATATATTGCTACCACCCAATTTGAGGAAGTGTCAACTAGAAAAATCACCGAAGTACTACAGATCTCTCAGAAACAAGGAGAGTTGGACACAAAAGAGATTGAGAAGTTGATAAGCCTATTGAAAACCCTTGAAAAGCCTACTGAGATATGTTCCTTGGGTCAAATCTCTAGTTCAAGTAAAGCTTTTGGTTATCATGGATTAAATCTCTCGATTAAGCCTATTACGAGTTCTTGGGTTATTGACTCAGGAGCCACAAACCATATAACACATTCCTCACAGAAGTTTAGTACATATACCATGTGTCCTAGTAATAAGAAAATTATTATTGCAGATGGTTCACTTACAACAATGACAGGATTAGGAGATGTTCAAATTAATCCCTCGTTTGTTCTTAAAAATGTTCTTCATGTTCCTGGATTATCTACTAATCTGATATCTATACAAAAACTTACTAGAGATATGAACTACAAAGTGACTTTTTATCCCTCTTATTGTGAATTTCAAGATCAGAGTTCGAGATAGAGGATTGGACTTACTAAGGAGAAAGATGAACTATACTATCTTGAGACATCAAACAACACAAGTAATATCAAGAATAGTTTACCTCTTTCATTTCTTTCTGAAAAATCTCTCAATAAAGATTAAATATGGCTTTATCATTTTCAACTTGGACATCCTTCTTTTGGAACTTTGAAAAACATGTTTCCTTCTTTGTTTGGATTAAATGCCGAAAATTTTCATTGCGATGTTTGTGAACTTGCAAAGCAGTAACGTGTGTCTTTTCCAGTTAGAAATAAAAGTTCTACTCCTTTTTACTTAATTCATAGTGACATATGAGGTCCCTCTACAATTCCTAACATTTCGGGTGCAAGGTGATCTGTTTCTTTCATAGATGATTGTACCAAGCTCTCTTGGATATTTTTATTTAAATCCAAATCAGATGTGAATAGTATATTTTTAAGCTTCCAAAACATGATCCAAAATAAGTTTGGAGTGAAAATCAAGAGATTTAGGTCTAATAATGCAAGAGACTATTTCAACCAGAGTTTATCTACCTATTTCCAAAAGGAAGGGATTATCTATGAGTCATCTTGTGTTAATAATCCACAATAGAATGGTGTGGCAGTGAGGAAAAACAGTCATTTACTAGCCACAGCCCGAGCTTTACTTTTTCAAGCAAATGCACCCAAATCCTACTGGAACAGCCACACATATTATAAATAGGTTACCTTCAAAGATTTTGGGATTAAAAACTCCTATGGAACTACTCTCACAATTCTATCCCAACTTTAATACCACAAACAACCTCACACCTAAGATATGTGATTATACATCATTTGTTAATGTTCACAGTCACAATAAGGGGAAGTTGGATCCTAGAGCAATTAAGTGCATTTTTGTGGGATATTCATCAACTCAGAGAGCGTATAAGTGTTATCATCCTCCAACCAAAAAATTCTATCTATAGAGGTCACTTTTGAAGAAAGTAAACCATTTTTTACTCAACCTTATCTTCAAAGGGAGACTTCATTCATGGAATATAAGGATAAAGACTTTTTTTGCTTGATTTGTCCTCTTCTTCAACATTTTCACCCATTAATTCTTCTAAGTCGAAACCTGTTTCTCTTGATCCCAAGTTAAACACTGAATTTGAGTGTGAACCCATTCCAAACACAAAAAATGTGACAAAGAAAAATATTGTTCTTGATTCTATGAAGGAATTATAGGTTTACTCAAGAAGGAAAGTTTCAGATCCTGAACCAATGCTAGTCCAAAAACCTAATCCTAACTCTGGAAATGAGACAACTATAGTCTTTTACTCAGTTTCTCAAAATGAGCATGAATCTCCTAAAACTATAAGTAGTGATTATGATTTGTCTATTGCCATTAGGAAAGGAACCAAAGAATATACTAAGCATCCACTATATCTAATATCTGATTTTGTATCATTTGAAAAATTCTCACCATCCCACAAAACTCTTCTTGTGAGCCTAAATACTATTTCTATTCCAACTACATTATCCGAGGCATCATCTAGTGAGAAATGGAGGCAAGTTATAAAAAAAGTATTGGAGGCCTTAGAGAAAAATAAGACATGGGAATTGGTAGAGTTGCCTAAAAAAAAAATCTAGTTTGGTGTAAATGAGTTTTCATTGTAAAATACAAGGCGGATGGTACTGTTGAAAGTTATAAAGCTAGGTTAGTGGCTAAGAGCTACACTCAAACTTATGAAGTGGATTATCAAGAAACTTTTGCTCCAGTTGCCAAAATGAATACAATTAGGATATTGTTATCATTGGCTACAAATTACAATTGGCAACTTCAAAATTTTGATGTAAAGAATGCTTTTCTACATGGTGATTTGGAAGAATAAGATATATATAAAGGTTCCACCAGGATTTGGAGCTCATCTAAAAGCAAACAAAGTATGCAAGCTGAAAAAGGCTTTATATGCCCTTAAACAATCTCCTAGGGCTTGGTTCAAGAGATTTGCCAAAGTGATCCTAGCAATTGGATATAAGCAAAGTCAAGGAGAGCACATATTTTTTATCAAACACTTTGATTCAGGGAAAGTCATAGTTCTATTAGTGTATGTTGATGATATAATTGTAATCAGAGATGATGAAAAGAGAGAGAATCTCTAAAACAATGTTTGGCTAGAGAATTTGAGATAAAAGAGCTAGGGAGATTGAAGTACTTCCTAGTAATTGAAGTAGCTCACGGCATGGTATTTTCATCTCACAACAAAAATATGTGATGGATCTTCTGAAGGAAACTAAGAAGCTCGCATGTAAACCTGCAAATTCCTCTATAGATCCTAATCATAAACTTGAAAAAACTAATGAAAATGCTGCTATAGATAGAGAGATGTACCAAAGATTAGTTGGAAAACTCATTTATCTCTCACATACTAGACCTAATATAGCATATGCTGTGAGTGTGATAAGTCAATTTATGCATAGTCCTAAAAAAGTGCACCTACAAGCTGTCTACCGTGTATTGCACTATTTGAAGGCCAATCCTTGGAGAGGTATCTTATTCAAAAGAAATTTGGAGCTGGTTCTAGAGGCATATACAAATGCTAATTACGCAAGTTCAATAACTGATAGAAGATCCACCTTAGGCTACTGCACTTTCCTAAGTGGTAATCTTATGACTTGGAAAAGTAAAAAATAGAATGTGGTGGCAAGATCAAGTGCTAAAGCAAAGTTCAAAGCAATAGCTCAATGAATTTGTGAACTACTATGGTTAAAGATTATCCTAGAAGACTTGAAGATCAAGTGGGATGGACCAATGAGACTCTACTATGATAACAAGTCTGCAATAAATATTGCACATAATCCTGTGCAACATGACAAAAAAAAATAAAGTAAACTGACATTTCATAAAGGAGAAAGTAGACAGCAGATTGATTTATGCACCATATGTATCAACCAAAGGTCAACTTGCAGATGTGTTGACTAAAGGTCTTAGTAGTGCAACATTTCAAGAAATTATTTCCAAGTTAGGAATGAAAAACACCTATTCACCAGCTTGAGGGGGAGTGTGAGAAAACATTTATTTACCACTGATTGTAATCTTGTAATTAGTATATTTATATTTGTATCTCTAGAATTAAATATTTGTATCTCTAGAATTAAGGACAAAAAATTAGAATAAAAAATCTCTCAATTATAGTATCAATTTTTAGGAAGATTTAGTTTCCTAATTTACCCACTAATTAGCTGTATATAAACCTAAGGTGCTTGTACAATTCTTTATGAGCAATTTTTCAATATACATTCAGTTTTACTCTTAGTTTTTCACACAGTTTTATTTCTTAGTTTTTCCACAAAAACTCTATCAGTTCTAGCACTCTTACAGCTATAATTTAAAACTGTTTATGCCACTCTAAACCCTAAAATTTAGTTTTCTCAAAGTTAAGCCAACCACGGGCCCTTTAGGTAGATTCCAGCCATCCCATCCAGAACTATTAAACCAGTTCAAACATCAAATGGCCATCTGTCTCTCCAAAAGTTACCAATAGATATGCAATCAATTGAAACAAACAGAGACTCAACCAAAAAGAAAGAGTAAAGGATAATCGGTTCATGCTGAGACTACAATCTTAAGAAAGACAGATAGGGTAAATGCAAAGTTGACATACATCTTTCTTGTCTAATGGTGTCAAAAATGGATCTCTAACACTAAGACCAGCAACAACAGTCAATACAGGATCCAGGCAATTAAGAATAGCACCAAGGATGAGCATCTTCCCAAGTTTTGGCTCCATTGGAAGCATAGTCAAATAACGCCCTGTCATGCAAGTTGAACTAAATGAGGCCACTGTTTTAAATCAATTACCAAAACTAAAGAGCATCAGCATGGAAAAGCAAAAATAAGGGTCCACCAACCCAAAATGGTCAGATTTTCACTCTCATCCAAGGCCCCAATGATTTTTAAATATTCAACAGCATTTTGAACCTACAATCACAGTTTTTAATAAAATAAAAATGTTAATGGGTACAATGTAGAAATGTAGAACAGTCTACATTCATTCAGATGTGGCAAATAGGGCCTTCAATAATTATTTAAACTGAAAATTTATAAGGTGGAAAATTGCTGTTTTCTACTAAGGGATTGATATTACAGTAAAAGTAGAACCAAGATATCAAATGGAACACTACCGCTAGTAACTCCGGTGACTGCAATGCCCTCGATAGGAATTCAGATATACTTTCGAGTTTCAAACTTTTGATTTGCAAACAAAGAGACTGCAATGGTGTCCTCAAAATTTCAGGTAATTGATATTCAGCGAAGGCATCATAAACGCATCGAGGATAGAGATGGTAACACTCTCCAGGTTCCACTCGGCCAGCTCTTCCTCTTCTCTATGTAGACATGCATGTACAAACCAATACATTAATCAACATAATGACACAAATTGGCAAGCAGTAAGAGTGACTTTTTTCATTTAAGACTTTCTTTCTAATGCACATATACCAATGAGAGAAGAGAAAAGATAGAGATTGATGAAAACTGCATGTCAAATGCATGACCAATAGAACTAATGAAATTAGATCCTCCATATAATGAGCAATTCTTCTTCTGTAAACAAATAAATCGAAACACTATAAATATTTATTTATCTCTTCATCTCATTTCAAAATTCTTCAAAGTTTCAAAATTCCACATCCGAACACACCCTTAGACAGACCCTTGCTTCAGTTATAACCATTCACTTAACTAGTAGCATTGCTCTTTAAGGGTATAGCTCTTCCGGGCTCCCAGTAATTTAGGTTAATTTACCAGATGCATTACCTAACCCAATTTTACATTTTATCTCATCTCAAATTTCTGTCATTTTTCCAGTTTATTATTTGAACACCAATCCATAAACGATAAAGCTTAAACTAGATATGATGGTTCAGACCATGAACTAACTGTAGTTTAACCACAACAAATGGTATTCTCATGGGACCATAATAGGCAGAGTCAAGTTGACATCAACTCTTGACCCAAAAAATAAGAAAAGTTGATATCAACTCCCAAACTCGTTCTGCACCCTGAAACAGATCAGTGTAGGGAAAGTCAACAAACTTAACAATCCTCTCTAGAGGCAGAAGCACCATCATGATTATGACTAATATTCTAAGAAGTGAAGCAATCAGGTCCGACAAGTGGAACCCTAAGTGAAGTCTTCATGAAGTGGAATAATCAGCTCTCACCAAATGCTAAAGAATAAGGCTTAGGTCAATGGTATAGGAGCTTTGCAAGTTTTAGTTGAAATATCTGAAAACAATTATAATGATTCATGTAAACTGTTGGACTTCACCTCAAATGCTTGCAAACAAGAACTTGAACAGCAGAGATAAGCTCGGGAAATAAGTAATAAATCAATACCTAAGCCAAAGAAATGGGGTGCCACTCACACATGGCACAAATAGAGAACCAAAAAAAGTAGGAAAGCAAAAAGGAAAAGAAAAAAAAAAGAACTTCGAACAAAGACTACTTAAGACCTCAAATTACCATCTGTTCCACTACTCCAGAAAGGATGCTCTTTCCTCCTTTATACTCCATTGTAAACAAGATAGAACTCATCCAAATATAATCATACTCCTATCCATATATCTCAAGCCTCAGCAACTCATCAACAAGTCCAATTCCATCTTTACCCCAATCAATTAATTATTCGAATAAGATACAAACATTACACTTTCTATCTGAATATAACGAATTTCAATGTTATATGAAAACTCAAAAGCTAAATCACCAGGTTATTCAAAACATGGAATAGGTTTAAATTTATGTCTTACCCATGCTTTTAGTCAACACTGAGCAGTGACATATTCCAAAAGAAATAAGCAAAAAGCTAGAGATGTTCGTATTCTAGTTTAATAGTAATAAATAGAGCAAATGATATGATGCCTGTTAAATATACTTCATATATAGAATCTACTCTGCCATTGGTTGATAAAAATTTAATCATTCATGCTTTAAAAGACTAACAGTGTACATTAGAAGTTCAGGCAAACCAAACATCTATATCTGCAGGTGCCCTAATAAAAATGCAAGGATTGCCTGAGCCACTTCTTACCCCACCATATACCATCTGATGTTAAAAGTTGTTGCAAAATTATTTTCTTTTTTAAACAGCATCAGTCCATGATGCCATCCCTTTATATGTAAAAAGATTCTCTTTTTAAGGTTTAGGAGGGCTCTTTCCAGCAGGCAGAAGGCCTTTCATAAAGTAAACCATGCCCCTAGAAGATTGAAGGTTCATGAGAGTTTAGAAACTATACGAAAGAAACGGGCATATAAGCCCCAGAAACTCAAATTTTAACTACATAGTCAGTCCATTGCCTTAGTAAAATTTCATCTATTTCTCTCCTTCCACATGTTGCACGTCTGACACAGATGCAGATTCAAGGCCAATCTTGTTCAACCTACTAGTGTTCAAAATTGTCCTGTAAATAACATGGTTTTATTTGACAAATTTTATTTCAATTGCTCAAAGATGAAAAAAAGATATCATCTCCAAAAATCACCTAGTGCAAATTATTATGCTAAATATCACTAGCCCAATGAAAGCATTTTTAACAGAAATAAACCTTCAAATTAAAGGTAACAAAATAACCATTCACCAAGAATCAGATGATATTAGACAACCTCCATGATAAAGCAAAGACAAATGATTACTCATCAGTATTAATGATGGAGAACGGCTTAGGCTTTTATTTTATTTGATTTATTTTAATCAGAGTTATTATTGGTATTTTGCATTTTGTTAGGGTTTTGGGTTTAGTCATATATGCCTATGTTATTTTAGTTTCAATTAGGTTTTGGGTATTGAATATTGGGCTATTGTGATATTGAGATTTTTCTGTCTATTGATTCTGTCTGGTTTTCTCCCCAAGGTCTTCTATTTCCCCTAACTTCCTTTGTTCCCTAATTGTTCTTGTCTATTCCTGAATTTCTCCCTAAACTTCTATATTCTGCCTCTTGTCCCTACTTATCAATCAACCTCCACATAGATTAGTGATCAAATATTCAATCAGACGGTAGCCTTACTTGTTGAGCAGAAACCTTGGAAATCCATGATGGTAGCAAACAAGGAGTGTTATTCAGTGCATCATAGGATGTCTCTTTGGCCTTTCCACAATCAAGAACAAAAACAACGTCATTAATTGTGATGCTAGTCTCAGCAATATTAGTAGTTAATACTATTTTTCTCACTCCATCTTTGGGCTCTTCAAAAATTAACTTCTGCAAGAATTGAGAAACATCTATTTACAATTTAATTAAGAAAAGGGAGAGGAGAGGGTGGGGGATGGCAAAAAAAGGCCAGCCAGGACACAAGATCTGAGACTATAGAGTAAAAAAAAAAAAGATTACCTGCTCAGAACTGGCCAAAAAACCATGGCAAGTAAGCAACGAAACTCGGTTTGGATCTCCAAGGATAGGATGAGATTGCAGCTTATCCTTTAGAGAACTTATGTCATCCCACCCAGTCACAAAAACTAGAACTGCACCAGGCCTTTCATTCTCACAAATATAGGATAAAAGATATTCTATGAGATTAAAACCAATACAATCAGGATTCCAACATGACAAAGACTCCCAAGTCTGAGGGCTGAAATCCTTAAAATCGGCTGCCCGGAGTGCATCCTATTACATATGTCCAAAATTAAAATAGAAAAAAAAAAAGAAATAGGAATCATAGAATGTAGCATGGCCAAAGAAACGAAGAGAAGTTTGTATACCTCAACAGCGGAGGCAATTTGGCTCTTCCTCTTTCTTGGGGCTTGCTTACTCATTTTCCACATCCTTTCTTGACCATAATCATCAATTTGATTATATGGAGTCAACCTGTATCCCATCATCTCCAAAATATTCTCCAAAAAATGTATTCGAACTGGGTGCGTAAAACCCTAAATTAGAACAAGAAAGCAAAAAAGAAATTCAACCACACATTTCAAACTCTTTTAATGCTGGAGAACACTGCCAGGAAACAAGTTGAATCCAGAAGAATTTAAGACTAGTGATATGCATTCTCAATGAATACCTTGAAAAATGAGACAAATGAACATGAAAAGTCTAATTTAAACATGAAAGGTGACTATCAAAAACAAACATATCTCTTTATCAGAAGAACTAAAAGGCCAAAAGAAAGATCAATTAGAAAAAGGCCAAAATAGAAAAAGCATCAACACAGCCTGCAACAGGGAGAAGTGGGGGACATAGAAAGGTGAAAGAGGGAAGATTATTGTTAGTTTAAACGAGTGGAGAGAATTATGTCATCACCGTACGTCAAAGTATAGAATCAGTGTAAATATAACAAGGAGCCATGGGGAGAATTAAGTCACTACTGAACATCAAAGAACAAAATCAGCGTAAATATAACAAGTAGATGAAAAGCAGGCAAAAGAACATATAACCTGGCAAGAGGTTTCACAGAAAACCAAACTAGATAAAGATATTAAGAGTAACTAGCCATCTGTGACAAAGGACAAAAAACAATAACTAGCTATCTGAGGCAAAAGTGTTCCATTAATATCTGAAAGCACATCTAGAATAAAGAAATTAAGAGTTTATAAACACTTATTTAAGGGAAGTTCTTCTATGCTTGCAAAAAATAGGAAGGTTAAAAAAAGGAAAAACAAAAATTATTTCAACAATCATACATGTACACAATATTCAACAATGTCCACTTAAAAATTTTGCTTCATATCTCAACTAGCATATTCACAAAAAAAAACTTCATTACAAGCCAGTAGACTAGCAAATGGGACCCAAATCAATCTGCCTATCAGAATGAATCTACCGGTGGCATTAAGTTTTTATCTTACTGGAATGTGGATTAAAGGAGCCCCACCAAAATACGAGGAGAAAAGCTCAGCATCCAGAGAGGCACTCATCAAAATCAGCTTTAATTCTGGGCGGCGAGGAAGGAGATCTTTAAGGACAATGAGCAGGAAATCTAACATATTTTAAATATTATATTAGAAATCATATTTCACTAATTCCACAATTAAAACATCAATTTCACATATTACCTTCATTAATCCCACGTTCATGGATCTCATCCACAATTATATGAGTTACACCTTTTAAATTTCTATCAATTAGCAGCCTTCTCAATAAAATGCCTGTTGTGCAAAAGAGAAGACGGGTTTCCTTCCCTCTCATACCCTCAAGCCGCACTTTATATCCAACCTTCAAATAAAGCCAATAAAAAGAGTAACTTTACTTAATCTTACTAAATGGTTTTTACTTAAAAAGGTAATAGTTTGGGCAAATATCCTAGGTAACCATTTCTGACAGAAACTAACAGATTCACCCAATTTCTCTCCTCTTTCTGAAGCAACTCTTTCTGAAACAGACATAGCAGATATTCGCCTGGGTTGAGTACATATAATGTTACAAACAGCTCCACGAACAAAATCTATCTCAGATTCTAAAATAAATTGGGGAATTTGTGTGGTCTTGCCACACCCAGTTTCACCTGAGATAATAAGAACCTGCAAAACACAATTTTACGATCACAAAAAGAAATACAAAAATATAACATCAGTCTACATAACTGAAGTGATGCACCAACTCTGTGGAATGAGAGCAACCAATTAGTCTCCTCATGGGGGTCTACTCTTATGAAATGAGATGACATATACAAAAGTACAATGTGCAGACATTTTTATTGTCAGCCTAATTATCCAAAAGAGAAATAGTTAACTAGGGCTTAATTTGGCTGCTGCTTTTGCTACTTGCTTTTTGTTTTTGAAAGTAAAAAAGTAAAAGCCATGTTTGGATACCAAAGTAACTAACATTTTCAAAAAAATAAAAAAATTTGGTTTCTTGCATCGAAAAATGCACATTTTTTCTTTATGTTCTTTATGTGCAATAATTTATGGTAGAATTTTCTTTTATATTTTATCCATTTGCTCATTTTCAATCATTTATGATTTTGATTTCACCCTTTTTCTTTAAGACAACTTTTGAGTAAGCAAAAACCGAAAAGCAAAGCCCAAGAAGCAAAAGCAACAACTCAATAGAGCCAAGATTACTTAAGTAGGGAGAAAAAGGACAAGTCCAATGATATGCATTAGCTTTGCAAGTATCCTGAATACACAATGCACTTAACTCTAAGCAAGCTTAGAATATAAAGCATCCTAGCTTAAAAATCATCTTCATGCCTCAACTAGCAATGGGCTTGAACAAAGTTTAGTTGAATGGAACTTGAATGCTTCACATGAAATCAACTCTATAGTCAACAAAATTTCCAGAAGCTTCTGATGTACTACAAAGCAATTACATTGAAAAGAAATCCAAAAAACCTGCCCTAAGATTTTCTCTTTTCTCTATCTCTTCTTCTCCCCCACCCACCCAAAAGACACGGACATTAAAGCATGAAGGCGGCAGCCACTTAAGCACATTAGAGGATAGCATTCAACCAAATACAATCAACAACTTGTTTCCAATGGAAAAATATAAAGAGAGAAAGCAACGTATAGGTAAGTCTCAAGGATATCTATTTGATACAGGAAATAAGGTAGTATAGTACTTCATGACCATGTGCAGTAATAGTCCGAAGATAACATTAGAATATGCAACTTATTATCTGAAGCAGCAGTAAAATGGCTAAATAATGAACTCTCTTTTGCTTCTCAATATAAACAAGAAAGACAAGAATAAATAATCTAGTCAAAGTAGAATATTAGACCATGAAGGGCAAGTATAAAATTCTTCTACAGCATAATTCCCCGTCATTGTAAACAAAATGAAAGAAAAACAAGTTGGACAATGAAACATAAGTAAGCTAAAGCAGAGCTTAGCATCAAACATTCCAGCCAAGCTCAAGATAATTTAAGCTCAAGCTCATTTGACAAGAATTCATAGAAGCTCAAGTTCAGCCTTTTTCAGTTTGTTATTTGACACAAAGCTTGAACTCAAATTTATAAGATCGAGCCAACCAGAACTTGGAGATGGTACAAAAAAAAAAGCATACGAATAAAATGCCCTTACCAAAAATGTAACTTTCAAGAGATAACGAATATGACAAGCATAAAATATTTCAGTAGTATAAAACTCAGGCCATTTACAGGCAATAACTTACAATCACTAAACAACTTCTACTTGGGCCTTTGAAGCAAAATCCAATAAAGTTAAATTCACCTCATTTAACTAAACAAGGACAATATAGCCTCAAGCTCAATTCATTTGTTAAAAGAGCAATCCAACCGGAGTTTCTTAATGAGTTGAGCCTGTAAGAGTAGCCCAGCTCATTTCTGTTACAATGGAAGCCTATATGTTCATGAATACAGAAGTTTTCTACCACTAGTTTCCTGCACAGGCAAGCAACTAAACTCAAAGAACGACTACTAAAGTTAACATACCTGATTCTGCAAAATGGCTGTCAATATGGCATCCTTCTCTTTATAAGCAGGAAGACTTTGACGGAATTCTAGAATTCCTCTTCCTTCAAGAGACTCCTATAAAACATGAATAGAAGAGAAAAACACAAAATCAAAATAGATCAAACCAGTTTAACATCAAAATTCATAATTGGGGACGACAAGAAAAGCAATCAAAAGGCTTTTATATAGGAAAATTTTATTAGCTACTGAGAACTTGCAGCTATGTTCACCACTGAAAGTCTGCAGCTTGCGTTACACCAAACTGTCTCTAGAGGAATCTTGACAGCTAAAAATTAACAATAGTTAATTTTAAAATCAAGTATAAGCAAAATGCTAAAACTTAAAAAAGTTTGGCTCAGGTTTTTGCAGTCCCCAGCACACAAACTAAACAAGCTTCACCATGCTCCTTAAAAGTTCCTTCTGCTAGAAACGATATCGATTTTATCGGCTAATCACACAATAGCCACTTCTACATGTGAAAGGTGTTTTTACTCCTTTTTTTGCACTTGAAATCATCATGATGGATTTTAACCTTTGGTTTCCCTATTTCTGCCTATGTACCTAGATAAAGCTAACACATACTCCATTTAAATTTGTTTATTAGACCTACAGATTCCTTTCAGTTTCATGAGTGGAAGTTTTTTTTTTTTTTATATTTTTTCTTATTCAACTTCTGTAACACAGTATAACTTTGTCACCTGAATGGCATAAATGAAGTAAAAAATGCTTCACCATTCTGCCTTCTTCCTACACATATAGTACCAACATGAACATAGAACTTATATCTTTCAAAATGAATTTAAATCAAAACCAAGATGTGTAAAGCATATATAAAGTTTTTTTTTTTTTTTTTTTTTTGTTAATGACAACATTCCCATATCTATTTCTGTAATAAAAGGCACTTGAATAAACCAAAGAATTGTTTTGCAGCCCACAGGTTATGGTACCTCAAGGCCTTCAATTTTGTCCCCTTTTTATTCTTTATGTTTGCCACTTTGGAGGATAAGAGCTGTATGAAGGAAAAAGGCAGGTTAGGAAGGTAAGGAGTTAAGAGCACCTGAGAGGTTTGAAGGCTAGGGAGGCATAGCCACATTGACTTTTGCTAAATTACTCTCTAGGGAATAAAGTCTTTACTTTTATTACTTATTTATGCTTGATCCTTTTAACATTTTGTTATTGTTTATTTAGCATTATTTTCTTGAAATTGTTTGTTCAATCCTTGAATAATTTAAATATTTTATTTGTAAAAAAATTCCTTTTAAGATGGTGTATTTGATTTAAAAATACATAAATTTTTCATACGAATATTAATTTTTTTTCCACTTTTATGTTGCCTAAAACAACTTTTTTGGATAGCCAAAAAAATTTTGTATGATAATTGTTATACTTTTATATGTTAAAATCAAAGCATAGGGAGTACAATAAGTAGTTTAAAACATTTGTGACATACAAGCAATGTAAATATAATAGCACATAATATATACGAATACATTTTAAGTCCGTATATTTATTTTCAAATACCTTTTATTGGCCTACTTGACAACAGAATTACAAATGTATAAGAATATCTAAATCTACTTTTTCATTTCAGAAAAGGAAACTAGTAATCACCCAACAAATCAAAAGTAATTGATGTAAAACAGAAGAAATAAAATAAAATAAACAAGAAAAGAAGACTGGTTCAAGATGGTGAACAAGAAACTTGGAACACTTGGAGAGGAACAAAGGGTGGATGGATGAGAAGAAAAATAGAAACAATACGTTGCTTTTGTTTCAGAGATATGAGGAAAAAATAAGGAAAACAATAACTATAAACAATGTGGTAAGAAGTAGGTTAGAGTAAAATTATTAATAAACTAAAAGGAAAACTAAGATGTGATAGAAGAAACAAATTAAGAAGAAGAAGAATAGCATAAAAAAAATTTTAGATAAAAAATAATTAAGGGAAATGAGTTAAAAATTTAACAAAAAAGATATGGCTGAGGAAAAGATGTATAAGGGAAAATTTGATTCAAGAATAGCATTAAATCATTTCAAATGCTAATGACATGTGTTATAATGAACTAACATATTTTTTCAAAATTTTTTATAATGTATTTTGCAGATTTTAAACATAATATCTATTATATTTCTTTAATAGATAAATTATAATGTATTCTATTTACAATTTGCAAAAACTATTTATATCTAATTTATCTGAAATACTAACATGTTTCCTTCTTTGTTCAAAGAATTAAATGTTGAAAATTTTCATTGTGATATTTGCGAATTTGCAAAACATAGACGTGTGTCTTTTCCAATCAGTAACAAAAGAAGTTCTACTCCCTTTTACTTGATTCATAGTGACATTTGGGGTCCCTCTACAATTCCTAATATTTCTGATGCAAGATGGTTTGTTTCATTCATAGATGATTGTACTAAGATCTCTTGGGTTTTTTTACTTAAATCCAAATCAGATGTGAATAGTGTGTTTTTAAGCTTCCAAAACATGATCCAAAATCAATTTGGAGTAAGAATCAAGAGATTTAGGTCTGATAATGCTAGAGACTACTTCAACCAGAGTGTATCCACCTATTTCCAAAAAGAAGGGATTATCCATGAGTCATCTTGTGTTAATACTCCACAACAGAATGGAGTGGCAGAGAGAAAAAACAGCCATTTATTAGCCACAACCTGAGCCTTTCTTTTTCAAGCAAATGTAACTAAATCTTATTAGGGGGAAGCTGTTCTCACTGTCACACACATTATAAATAGGTTACCTTCAAGAGTTTTGGGATTTAAAACTCCTATGGAACTACTCTCGCAATTTTATCCCAACCTCAATACCACAAACAATCTCACACCTAGGATATTTGGTTGTACATCATTTGTTCATGTTCACAGTCATAACAGGGGAAAGTTGGATCCAAGAGCGATTAAGTGTATTTTTGTGGGGTATTCTTCAACTCAAAAAGGATATAAGTGCTATCATCCTTCTACCAAAAAATTTTATGTGTCTGTAGATGTCACTTTTGAAGAAAATAAACCATTTTTTACTCAACCTTATCTTCAGGGGGAGACTTCATTCATGGAAGATAAGGATAAAGACTTCTTTTTACTTGATTTGCCCCTTTCTTCAACATTTACACCCATTAATTCTTCTGAGTCGAAACCTGTTTCTGCTGAGTACGAGTCAAACATTGAATTTGAGTCTGAACCCATTCCAAATACAGAAGATGTGACAAAGGATAATATTGTTCTTGATTCTATGAAGGAATTACAGGTGTACTCAAGAAGGAAAGTTCCAGATCCTGAACCAGTGCCAGTCCAAAAACCTGATCCTAACTCTGGAAATGAGGTAACTATGGTTTTTGACTCTGTTTCTCAAAATGAGCATGAATCTCCTAAAACTATAACTAGTGATTATGATTTGCCTATTGCCATTAGGAAAGGAACCAGAGAATGTACCAAGCATCCACTATACCCAATATCTAATTTTGTGTCATTTGAAAAATTCTCACCATCCCACAAAAATTTTCTTGTGAACCTAAACACTATTTATGTTCCAACTACATTATCCGAGGCATTATCCAGTGAGAAATGGAGGCAAGCCATGAAAAGAAAAATGAAGGCCTTAGAGAAAAATCAGACATGGGAACTGGTAGAGTTGCCTAAAGGAAAAAATCCAGTGGGGTGTAAATGGGTTTTCACTGTAAAATACAAGGCAAATGGTACTGTTGAAAGGTATAAAGCCAGGTTAGTAGCTAAAGGCTACACTCAGACCTATGGAGTGGATTACCAGGAAACCTTTGCTCCAGTTGCCAAGATGAATACCGTTAGGATTTTGTTATCATTGGCTGCAAATTACAATTGGCAGCTTCAACAATTTGATGTAAAGAATGCTTTTTTACATGGTGATTTGGAAGAAGAAATATATATGAAGGTTTCACCGGGATTTAGAGGTCATCTAGAAGCAAACAAAGTATGCAGGTTAAAAAAGGCTTTATATGGCCTTAAACAGTTTCCTAGAGCTTGGTTCAGGAGATTTGCCAAAGCGATGCTAGCAATGGATATAAACAGAGTCAAGGAGATCACACATTGTTTATCAAGCACTCTGATTCAAGGAGAGTCACAGTTCTATTAGTGTATGTTGATGATATAATTGTAACTGGAGATGATGAAAAAGAGAGAGAATCTCTAAAACAGTGTTTGGCTAGAGAATTTGAGATAAAAGAGCTTGAAAAATTGAAGTACTTTCTAGGAATTGAAGTAGCTCACTCATGGCATGGTATTTTTATCTCACAACAGAAATATGTGATGGATCTTCTAAAGGAAATTGGGAAGCTTGCATGTAAACCTGCAAATACCCCTATAGATCCTAATCATAAAATTGGAGAAGCTAATGAAGATGTTGCTACAAATAGAGAGATGTACCAAAGATTAGTTGGAAGACTCATTTATCTCTCACATACTAGACCTGATATAGCATATGCTGTGAGTGTGGTAAGTCAATTTATGCATAGTCCTAAAGAAGTACACCTACAGGCTGTCTACCGTATATTGCACTATTTGAAGGCCAATCCTGGGAGAGGTATTTTATTCAAAAGAGATTCGGGATTAGTTCTAGAAGCATATACAGATGTTGATTATGCAGGTTCAGTAACTGATAGAAGATCTACCTCAGGCTACTGCACTTTCTTAGATGGTAATCTTGTGACTTGAAGGAGTAAAAAACAGAATGTGGTGGCAAGATCAAGTGCTGAAGCAGAGTTCAGAGCAATGGCTCAAGGAATTTGTGAACTACTATGGTTAAAGATTATCCTAGAAGACTTGAAGATCAAGTGGAATGGACCTATGAGACTCTACTGTGATAACAAGTCTGCAATAAGCATTGCACACAATCCTGTGCAACATGACAGAACAAAACACATTGAAGTAGACCGATATTTCATAAAGGAGAAACTAGACAATAGGTTGATTTGTACACCTTATGTATCAACCAAGGGTCAACTTGCAGATGTGTTGACTAAAGGTCTTAGCAGTGCAACATTTCAAGAAATTATTTTCAAGCTGGGAATGGAAAACACCTATTCACCAGCTTGAGGGGGAGTGTGAGAAAACACTTATTTACAGCTGGTTGTATTCTTGTAATCTGTATATTTATATTTGTATCTCTAGAATTAAGTATTTGTATCCCTAGAATTAAGGAAGATTTAGTTTCCTAGTTTAACCCCTAGTTAGTTGTATATAAACCTAAGATTCTTGTGTAATTGTAGATAAGCAGTTTTTCAATATTACATTCAGTTTCCATAGTAAAATCTAATGCAAAACTAAAGAATGATTTATTAGTATCATTTAAAGAATTTTAACAGTACACAGTTTTTACTATTGGCAACCAAATAGATTTGGACAATATATTTGATTTTATAAGTAACTAAAAAATTGAAAATATCTTGATGAAGTGGCTAGAAAATGCAGGCAAGATCTAGTATGTAAAAATTCAAATCAAGAACTCAAAACCAGCAAAAGAAGTATGGCATTAGACTCAAATGAGGAAACAAAAATAAAAATAAGCCCTCCATCTTCTATTGGGTGGACGCAAGTTCTAATTTTAGTGGAATCAAGCCAAAGAATATTCCATTTAAAAATACTTAAATGGCAAATTATAAAAGTTAATATGTTGATCAAGATTATTTCTGTCAACGGAATAATTAAATTTAAAAACAAAGATTTTTGGAGCTTGTTTCCTTTCAAAATTTAAAACAAAAATATTTGTTTGATTTATTTTTCTTTCTTCTTAATTTTAAAACAAACATTTTGTTTCTTGAAATTTCAAAATCAAACTTTTTTCTTTTTTCCTTTCTTAAATTTTCAGCAAAACTACTAAAAAAAAAACACTTGTACTTTAACAAATTTCTCATTAAGGCCCTATTCTTTTATTGAACCCAATTGAGTACTTAAAATATCACTTTTCTTTAATTAAACCCCTAGTTTGCTTTAAAATCTGTTATTTATGTCACATCAGCATCTGCATGACCATTATCTTTGCCATATTAGTGTACACCTGGAAAAAAAAATGAAAATTTATGTTGAGTTGATGGTTACTCGGTCTACTACATTAGCATCTATAAAGCCCATATTTTGACATATATGAGCCATATAAACATCAATGTGACAGATAACAACCAGATAGAATTTGATCTATCAAAAAAAAAAAAAAACAAATTTTAACGATTTTATCCAAATAAGAGCTCAATTAAACAAGAGAACTACTTTAAGGGCTTAATTGGGTACAATAAAAGGATAAATGATTATTTGATGAGAAAGTACAAGGGTTTTTTAATGTTTTGGCCTTTAAAAAACACAATTTTCTTCTTAAAATTTGAAAGTCAAGCAACTGAAAAAAAAAAAAAAAATCCTTCTTTATCTCTAGTTAGTGGCCTTTCGCCTAGGAAAGGATTGCCAACCAACTCCAAGTCCGCCCAGTTGGCCAATAGTGCCAGATTTGATGCTGGCTTGACCAAATCTGGAAAGCCAAAGCCGTTCTAGCCTTATCAAGCCAGATCAAGCCAATGCAAGCCAATCTAGTATCGGCTGCCTCCAACCTATTAAGGCCTTAAAAGCCCTTGGTTAGCGAGATCTGGCAAGCCAGCATCAGCATCAGCATCAAAAGGTCAGATTGAGCAGTTCTAGGCTTGTTGTTAGTTTGACAAAGTGGTTTTCTTGGCATCAAAGAAAACAGAAAAGCAGAGGAAGAATGAGAAAAAAATAACAGAAGAATGAAAGAATAAAGAAAAAGACGAGAAATAAGTAAAAAAAAAAAAAGAAAAACCTAAAAAGATAATATAGCACATTGACCCGTCATCTTTGGCGGGTTAAATTGCACCTATCATCAAAATTGGTGGTTTGATTATGCTAAAATAGAAGATTATATCCTTAATTACATACAACAAAAGAACATATTTTCAATTTTGGGTAAAGTTTGAGGACATATTAGGTATTATAAACAAAGGAGTAATTTATCTCCTGTTTCCTTTTGCAAAGCAAGGACAAAATAAAATATGCAATGACATATCTTAAAGGCAATGGAATGAGAAAATTTTATTTATAAGTGCTAAAATAAAAATAAAAAATAAAAAGCTTGTACTTAATTAAATCTATCACTAGAACCCTCCCTTTCTTTCTATTAACTACGCCCTTAACTATTTTTTACACCCATTTAAGCCTTCTTGGGACAAGGAACGGTCAAATGACCCACATGACCATAACCTCTATTAAATCTACTCCACTATGCAATGCAATTGGACAAGTGGCAGATGACTGTCACTAAATTAAAATTTAATGATTAAAGAAACAATTTTCTTCCCAATCAATAAATTAAAATTTAATTATTTTTTCTCCACGTCATTTGGCATGTTGCCAATTATATTACATAGTGGACAAAGGTCAATGGACATTCATGTAACATGACAGTTTTCCTTCCCAATGAAGCTTAATTGCACATAATGATAACTAAGGGGCTAAATTGATTGCAAAGGATAGGGACTCCTGTAATAGATTAAATTTAAGTACAAGCTTTTTATATTTTAGCCAATAATAAAATAGCAGCAGCGCATAACGATCATCAATATTCTAATATAATGGACACATATGAGATGGTATGAGTAGGCAATAGCAACAGCCTATATGCACAATTGTCTAGTTAAAATGAACCTGCCATGCTTGTTGCTGAGCATGCAGCTGCAAACTTCTCCGCCAAAGAATTTTCTCCATGATAGCCGTGTTGGATGCCATTGGCTCTGGCTGCTCAAAAAGTCCTTCGTCGGTAACTATACTGCTATTACTGCTTGATTTTGAAAAACAATTGTCTGAAAAGCTTTCCTTAGTCCTAGACTTTTTAGAAAGGTATTCTCCAAGATGGGCATCCACTCTCTTCAACAAACCAAAATTTAAGTTCACCTGTCAAATGTTAAAAGCATCAATATAAACATATAAGAAAACTGCACCATCAAAGTCAATAAAAGGTAACCTAAGAAGCACCATCATAAACATAGGATACAAGGTGTCAGAATATGAACACAACAATATGGCAACTTCCAAAAGTTAGCACGGAATAAAGCTGAGATATGTAACATACCCACGGACATACATAGCATCAACAAAGTCAACAAAAGGCAACCTATAAAGTATAATTCTCCGTGGGTGACAAGATAAAGCACAATGATCACTTTTTTTTTAAATTACGAGTTAAAGCTTGGGCATATGTGCATGCTTTTAAAATCCCTGAAATCAACTAAATATGCTCGACATGACAACACCCAAATAGCAGAAATATAAATGTACAAATCTAAAATGGAGACATTAACACTAGTAAATCAAGAATAGCATGTGGTCTCGGTTTTCTTTTGATTTTTATATTAAGTTTTTGCCTTAAATTTGTTTATAAACCACCATTTCGTAAATTACAAAATTGCAGAAATAAATATTAAACAATACGAGTTGTTTTCATTTCCATACATGTATCAGTTACATATGGTCCCACTTCGAGCAAAACAATGAGACCAAAACAACTTTTTATGTTTTGGGTAATGAATACATTATGGGTATGTAACCGAATATGTTGGGGATATGATAAGGATACAAAACCAATATTAGAAAATGGTGTTGTAATATTGGTGTTACATAAAAGAGAGCATAGAGTGAACAAAATTACAAGAGTACCTCCCTCTGTGGACGCTTATCATCCAGGTCAAATCTGTAGTTAGGCAGGGGGGCCTTACTGAAGACAGCAACTTTGGAATAAAGATGGCTGCCAACACAATTTGAGATCAGAATCCCCATATTTCTAAGAGCAATTTTACATACGAAACAATCTAGTTTAACCAAGGAAGATACCTATACAAACCCATTCTGCTAGCCAAAGCTGCTATTTGCTCAAAGTATCGTCTATCTTTCTTTTCCCTTGAGACCAACTCCTGTTTCCCATCATCATGTAAAAGTATCACTAACTTTCGCTTCCACTCATCAACATTAGCTTCACCAAAAGTACCCTGGAAAACAAAATTTGCAGAAATGAAATTATGACAGCCTTCATGCAAAAAATGCCCAGATAGCTACTAACATTTGAATAAAAAAGCTGGATACAAATTAAAAACATTAAAATATAACATTTACCTCAAAAAAAAAAAAATTCCCCCGATTATCCCATCTCACCCTTAATAACCACCTCTTAATGCTTCTTTTAATATTTTGCTTCTTTTTTTTGCTTTATGAAGATTTTATGAGAAAACCGCTATTGTCAGTAATGCTGATAGAAGTACTAGAGACATGTATCCAAGCACACAAATAGATTATTTACATACAAAACTGAAGAAATCAGTCAATGTTCTTTGCTCCAGCTAAAGTTGACTTATTCGATGATGCAGTGCAGAAGTAGAAACAGCAAAAAGAAAACTAAAACAGTGTAAAAGACCAGAATAAAGGCTAAAGTTGATGTAAAATTGTAGAGCCAATAATAAATAATATCCCACCATCATAAAGCTGCCTAATGTGTCTAGAAGACTGCTTATACTAGGTTTACAGCAGCTTTTACTCCTAGCCCTTTGATACACATAAGCCCATCTAATCAAACTCATTAATAACTCATGCTAGGAACATGACCACTTAATTAAAAAACTCCATAATTACAAACTATAAACTAAAGTAAAACAGCAAACATAAAGAAAAACATATCAAGATAACCAATTTAGATAAATTCTAGAATGCTGCAGCACCATTCAATCAGCATTAGGAGTTTTGTTGTTACGATTCACTGACAACCCATTATCAGCATGGTGCAACTTCATCTCCTTTATGTGTATATGATCATTTCCATGCAGTCATACAAATATGACCAATTGGGACAACATTGTTTAAAAATGAAAGAGAAAAGATATATATATGTAGAAATGCTATTTCTGTAAACGTTAAGTGCAGGTGAAATTTTCTCTCCATGATGATATGACAAGAAAGAAAAAACATAAAACAAATCAAAAAAAGAAGTTAACCGTAAAAGCGATACCACTTGATCTATCAACTATTGGAACTGCTAACAACCATACATCATAGACACGGGGAAGTTAAAAACTTGTTTGGACTAATTTATGCAGTTAGTTGTGACGTGACTGACATCACCGAGTTTTACAAAAAGCAAACTCATTTTAATAAACCCAATTGGCGAGTTGGGAGTGGCACCAGACTCAGTCCCATTATATATAATATAGATTCTACTAAAAAACTAAAAAGTGGGTAAAAACATCTCTCTTCTCTGCGAATCATTTTTTGAACAATGGAATCTATAAAAACATTAAGTGCTAGAAGAATCAACTCTCTCCCTGCATATATATTATGAGTATTTTGTCTTTATCTCAAAGAAGAAATCAAATCAGGAATTCATTTTATTGGTATTCGATCACATTAGAATATGTAATATCATAATGATGGTAGAAATTGAATTTTTAGTTTTTTTAAGGCTTTCCCATATAGCAAGCTAAGGTGACGCAAACATCTTCATGTAAGATAGCAGGAAGGAACCAAATCTAAGGGTATAAAGCTAAAGAAAAGAGGGATGGTAATAAATTGATGATGGGTTAGAAAATCTCCCAATGTAACAAATCCCAGAACAAAAAAAGGCGGCGAAGCTACATTCTTCGATCTTCATTTAATTGGGGAAATTCAACCCAAAGCAAATAAGTGAAAAAAACATAATCATTAATACTAAATTGTTAAAAGTTGTTAAAGTTAAATGCAAAGAGATACAAACAAGCTAGATTTGTCTTTATCATCAAATAATATATATTACATAGTCACAACGCAAGATATACTTAACCTCTAAGGATTAACTTAGTAAGAACCTCCATAACCGGTCTTAAAATTTTAAATCTCAAGAAAAATAATAATCACCACCTCTATTTTACAAGTAGCATTAAATGTAGCAAGGTTATATATAGGCAACATATGCCATTTCTAACACTATTTGGATAGAAGTTAGTAAAGGAAAGGAAAGTAAAGGAAATGATACATGTTTCCCTTGTTTGAATAGATAAAATGAGTGCAGGAAAGGAATGGGGATGGAATGCTAACATCCGTTGTTTGGTTAAAGAGTGGAAAAGAAAGAAAAGGAAAGAATGAATTATAATATACTTTTCCCATTAGGATGGCCAAAAAAAAAATGGAAAATCCAATTATGCCCCATTCTAATAAAATAACAATATAAACATTACACCAAATTCTAAAAAACAAGGATTATAAGTCAAATAAGAATAAAAGTTACCATGATTTAAATTTTTTGTTGGTGTCTTTTCTCAATAAAAAAAAAGTCGAATTGAAAAGAGTTAGTCCATTAATATATGACTACTCCCATAAAAGAAACAATGGAAAATGATTAATGGAAAAGTATTGGGTAATAAGTTTTTCATGCATTCTGTATTTCACAAACATCATTGGCACTATGTTTGGATCACTAAATTCAACACAAAGAGATATGGCTGTTCAGGCCTGCAGAGAGTTTAGAAAGCTTATACATGGGTTGTTTGTAATTTGATGAATATAGAATGGGTAATATGAACATTTCAGACTTTAAAAATTCTTTTGGCTTTCCTTTTCTTTTCTCACCGATTTGGGGAATTGAAACATGGTGGTTATGGAAGAAAAGGAAGGATATTGAAAATTTCTCCCTTTCCCTTACTCTACTCTAACAGTTATCCAAACAAGGGAGAATATTTCCCCTTTCCCCTCTTTTCCTTTCCTTTCCCACCCATCCTCTCAATCCAAACATAGTGTAAATGTGACTAAACCAAGCTCGAGGTAAAATGGTTACTGCTCAAGTATTAAAAGCTTTTAAGTTAACAAAACCTGTAATCTTATTCAACATCAATTTGAGCATAAAAAAATGATCAAAAAGTAAAAAAACTATTAACTATCAAAGACATAATGTATTTAAAATAAAGAATCAACTTGATCAGTTTTAGCATATTATTAGACTTTAGTTTAATGGGCAGCAAGAACTTATTAACTAAATATAATATGAATGTCAAAGTTGTCAAGCATAGCCTGAATGACAATGCCATAAGAAAAATCTCACCAACACCACAAAGTAAAGAATGACTAAGGTATTTTTACCAAAAAAAAAAAAAAAAAGAAGAAGTCTAATTGAAAGGTGTTGGCCCCATTCATATATGACTACTCCCATAAAAGAAACAATGGAAAATGATTAATGGAAAAGCGTTGGTTAATAAGTTTTACATGCATTCTGTATTTCACAAACATCATTGGCACTATGTTTGGATTGCTAAACAACTAGATGCAGCAGCTTTGATACAAGAAGAGGTGGTTACAAGCGGCTTCAACTCGAGGAGATGCAGCTGACAGGCCTGCAGAAAGTTTAGAAAGCTTATGCTTGGGTTGTTTGTAATTTGATGAATATAGAATGGATAGTATGAACATTTCAGACTTTAAAAATTCTTTTGGCTTTCCTTTCCCTCTTTTCTCACCGATTTGGGGAATTGAAACATGGGTGGTTACAGGAGAAAAGGAAGGATATTAAAATTCCTCCCTTTCCCTTACTCTACTCTAAAAGTTATCCAAACAAGGGGGAAACAATGGAGGGTTTTCCCCCTTTCCCATCTTTTCCTTTCCTTTCCCACCCATCCTCTCAATCCAAACATAGTGTAAATGTGACTAAACCATGCTCAAGGTAAAATGGTCACAGCTTAAGTATTAAAAACTTTTAAGTTAACAAAAGCTGTAATCTTATTCAACAAGAATTTGAGCATAAAAAACATGATCAAAAAGTAAAAACACTATTAACTATCAAAGAAATAACGTATTTAAAGTAAAGAATCAACTTGTTCAGTTTTAGCATACCATCAGAATTCAGTTTATTGGGCAGCAAGAACATATTAACTAAATATATGATGAATGTCAAAGTTGTCAAGTATAGCCTAAATGACAATGCCACAAGAAAATTCTCACCAACAGCACAAAGAAAAGACTGGCTCAGGTATTTTTACAACCGTATTCTCATGCTTAGCTAGCTCAACCCCACCATACTCAATTATTGCATAACGGTTTATAAGATTAAGTGATATTTACAGTGAAATTCATTTAGTTACAAGCTTAAAATATACCCTCATGCTTGAATTTTGCATAGGTCAAGGCCGTGATCTGAGGATGTTTCATTCCAAAGAGTTGTCTGGCTAAACTTATCGCAAAGTAGCAATCTTCAGCAATAATATTTTCAACTAAAGATACATCATTGCAAACTGAAAGTGCTCATATCAACTATTAAGGGACACTCACTTAACTTATAAAGCAGAGAAACATGTTTAACTTGTTTTTTCGTTATCAAAATTGTATGAATGAGAAACGAACCAAAATAAGGTTAGACGTTATTTAGAGAAAGCTTTATATTAGCCTAAAACTAAGCCAATCAACCAAATAATCAAACAGGAAAACTTCAATTTACTGGAAATTATATCAATGGAAATATGTGTAAGTATGAACTGACCGATTGCAAAGACAAATCCATCTGGCGATCAGAGCCGTTCTTAGAAATCCCGTGACAGTAAGCTGAATTATACTGCGAACTTTGATTATTACTATTTTTATTACCATTATTGCTATTATAAGTCCTCTGACGTTGTTGCTGTTTCTCGTCATGTTGTAGGTAAGACAAAGGAGGAGGAGCAGCAGTGCCCTTAGCGTTCAAAACGGGTATGTTTTGGCGGTCAAGGAGCTTGGAGTGAATCACTGAGGCGGCGGAAGTAGGGAAATCTGCTCCGTTCTTGCTAGAGTTGCTGCTGTTGGGAGAGAAAACGACGGAACGGAAACGGTGGTGGGGAGGGATGTAGACGGCGCAGCAGGATGATGGAGGCCGATCCTTCATCGTCGGAGAAGGGAGTGAGGGTTTAGGTTTTGCGTACGAAAATGTGGAATGGGAGTGAAGAAGACAAGCGGAACAACAGTGTCACTTCAAAAACTAGATACCTAGTATAATTTGCCTACGCTTTTTTTATTATTATTTGATCTATAACTGAAATATGAAAAAAAAAAAAAAAACCCCTTTCATAATTAAGTATTTATATTATTATAATATTTAAATAATTTCTTAATTTTTATTTCTCATTCACTGAAAAAACTCTTTTTTTTTTTTTACTAAGGTGAATTTTTAGTCCCAAATCTTTTATTCGTATTTTATTTTATTCCTAAATTTTAAACTGTTTTCTGATAATTTCAAACTTTTTAAAATGATGCTTGATCCTTTTATCAAACTTTGCAAGATAATTACAATTAAGAGAAATAGATCTATAAATATTATTTTTTGTAACCATGCTAAAATATATTATTAAAAAAATTAAATTTTCAAAAATAAAATATAATTATCATTTTTTCCCTTAATTTTACTTTTGATTTTTAAAAATTCAACTTAAAATCAAGGTCAAAAATAGTAATTTATTTTTCTTTTAAATAATTATAAAAATTTTATTTTTATAATAAGTATATTTTGGCATGATAGAAAAAAATAATAATTTTGGATCAATTATGTCAATTTATTTTCTTTCTTTATTTTATTTTATTAAATCTTATTCTCTCAATATTTACAAATTTTGATAAAATAATAATAAAATTAAATCCTTTTTAAAATAAAGCTAAAAATTATTTTTAGCAAAAAAGAAAAAAATAAAACATACCCAAATAATTTAAATATATTCAATAGAAAAGAAATATAATATAATATAAACTTTTTAAAATGAAACAAAAGTATTATTTTTACCATTGATTTTAAAAATTCGACTTAAAATAAAGGGAAAATGATATTGTTTTTCCTTTTGTAATAATTATACAAATTTTATTTATTTTAATAAATAAATTTTGACATTTTAAAAAGAGTAATAATTTTGGATCCATTAGTTTGATTTTATTTTTTATTTTATTTTATTAAATTTTATTTTTCCAATATTTACAAATTTTGATAAAAATATAAAATTAAATATTATTAAAATAAAGCTAAAAATTATTTTTTTAAAAAATGAAAGAAAGGAAACATACCCAAATAAATTTGACTCTCGGTGATTGACATATATTTTCTAAGCAAAAAAGAATATAAAAAACTTGTATGTACTAAAAGCCTTAATTAATAAAGTTTACATTTTTAGCTATAATTTTAAATTTAAATAGGAAGGGAAGTATGCTTGTCTGCTAAGTGATTTTGAATAAATTATTTTTTAATAAAATATTTTCTCAAGAGATTATAATAGTAAATAAATTTGTTATGTTATGTTGACATAATTTTAGAGAGTTTTAAATTAAATTAGTTATACTAGTAATAATTCACAAAAAGTATTTTTTGAGATTATTATTTATTATTTATCTCTATTATTTAATTTTTAAAACATCATTTTAGTATGATTCATTTCTTTCATTTTTTAAAATTTCTAGCTTTATTTTTATTAAAATTTAATTTTATATAAAAGAAATAAAAGTTGATAAAATAAGAATAAAGAAAGAAAATAAAATCATGAACTAGAATTATTATTCTTTGCTATCATATCAAAATATATTTATTAAAAATAAAATAAAATTTTAAAATTATTAAGAAGGAAATTAAATTACCATTTTGCCTTTGATTTTAAGTTGAATTTTTAAAATCAAAGAAAAAAAGATAGTTGTGCTTCATTATTAAAATTTTTAAAAGTTTTATTTATTTTTTAATAAATACATTTTAATATGACAGTAAAAAATAATAATTTAATATTTATGGATCAAAATGAAATCCAAATAAAAGGTTTGAAACTATAACTACACTTTACCCCTTATTTTTCACTATATAAACCTTTATACTATTTTTTATCTAAATAAATCCCTTAATTCTTATTTTTCATTATCTAAATCTCTCTAATAAATAAAAAAGAAATATCTACATTTATATAAAAATTAATAAAAAGAAAATTAAAATAGCTTTTATAATTTTCATATAAATATAGACATTTTTATTAATTTTACGTGCAGATTTTTTTCACTAATTATAAATAATTAATCAATTTTACTAATTTTCACATAAATATAAGCATTTCCTTTTTTATTAATTTTATATTTTGTTATTTCATTTCCAATAATTATATTTGGTCAAGATACCAATTAATAATAATTTTTGTTAGACTTTTTTTTGTAGTTTTTCTTTTTTGCTCATTTTTTTATCATGTGTACAATTTTGCCACATCATTCTGTCCACGTGTCATGTAGAAAAGCTTATATAATGAAAAATAAAAGTTAAAAGACTTATTTAAATGCAGTAATATTGTAATAGCTTATGTAGTGAAAAATAAAAATTTAAAAACTTATTTAGATGTAATAATGATATAAGAGTTTAATTAGATTTTTTTTAATACTTGGTGAACTTTTTTTGTATTTTAACCTTAATTTTAGTATTTATGAAATAGACAAAGGATGTGGAATAACAAATTAAATACCTATATCAAAATGGAGAGATAGAAACTTTAAGCAGATAAAACAAAAAAAAGTTTCAAATGTAAAATAAAAAAAAAATAATATTAAGATTTTATTAAAAAATTTATCTGTCATTTTAGAAAAATTTTCCCTACTACCAAAAAAGAAAGGATCTAATGTATGAATCTAAATCTTTATATCAAATTGAAAAAAATTTTATTTAATTTTTTAAAACATTTGTTAACTTTTAAATACACATTTAATTTTATTAATCTAATCTAATTAATATCTCTAATCTTTTGTTAGCCTAAAATAAGCTATAGCCTTGTGGGAAGCTAACAATTCTCATTGAAAGATAAGGAACTCGTGTTTTGTGATTGATGATATTTTGAATATCTTATGAATAAGTTTTAGAGTTAAATGAAAAAGATAGAAAATAAAAATAAAGAGAATAGAAGAGAAAGTGGTGAAGTGTAACACCTAAACAAAGGTAAAAGAATTAATGTTTAAGGCATGGTAACACAAAGGTCTTAGGGATAAATTCATCTTTCAAAATTTTAACGCATTAAAATAATTATCCTTTATTATCCTTGCAAGTTGAAATTTAAATATTCCTATCTAAAAATTCAAATAATCGTATTTGAAATTTTAGATATTTTCATTTAAAACTTAAAAATTCAAATAGTCGTATTTCAAATTTTAGATATTTTCATTTAAGTGGTGTTCTTCAATAGTGAATGATGACATCTTCCCAAAGTGAGCTTCATTCATCTTTCCTCTCTCTCTCTTTTTCTCTTATCTGTGTAGTCTTCTAGGTTTTTGCCTTTTCAATTTATTTTTTTTTTGTGTAACAAGAAAGGCTTTAAAATTATTTAGGTAACATGATTGCCATTTTTTGCTATCTCTAATTTTGTCTTATTGTTCACCTATATGCTTAACTTGACCTATGCTTGCTCTTTCTAACATAAAACTTGTACTTGATCTTTCTAACATAAAATAGCTTAGCAGTTAACCAAGGTAAACATTTTTTAGTTTTGGGTAGGGTGATATTATTGGGGACTAAGGGTAGATGTTGAGAATAGTAACATGTTTTAGGTAACAATGGTAAATTGTTTAACTATTGTGGTGTCTTTTTTTTCTATTTTTTCAATTTTAGATATCTTTATGGAACTTGTCCAAATATTAGGGACTTGTGTGATCTATAGTCCAGCTTCTAATTGGTAGACAAAAAAAAAAAAAAGGCTTTGAAATAGCCTATTGTTGAGGTAATGATAAATGGGTACACGAATTTGTTGTAATTCTTGTTGCTTAATGTTTATTTAAGGTAACAAAAAATATAAAAAGAAATACCTAGTATAATTACAAAGCAACTAAATACATTATATTAAACTTGTCTGAATGTTTTTGTTTTAACAATTTAGATAACTTAAATACATGATATTAAACTTGTTTGAATGATTGAACTTGGTTTCCATGATTGATATGTGTAAACAAGTTGTTGTTTATGTCTGTTTAGAATTTTTTATATTATTAAAAGGTAAAAATGTAATTTTGTAGTTGTATTTCTATTGTAACAATTTAGATAACTCCAATACATGATATTAAACTTATATGAATGTTTGGAATTGGTTTTCACACTTGATATTTATGAAAAAGTTACTTTTTATGGTTGTTTAGCACTCTTTATGCCGTTAAAGGATAAAAATGTAATTTTATAATTTTATTTTTGTTTTAACAATTTAGATAGCTTAAATACATGATATTAAACTTGTCTAAATGTTTGACCTTGATTGTCACTCTTAATATGCATGAATAAGTTACGATTTATGTTTGTTTAAGACTTTTTGTGACATCAAAAAGCAAAAATGCAAATTTGTAATTATTGTTTTGTTTTGACAATTTAAATATCTGCAATACATGATGCTAAACTTATCTAAATGTTTTAACTTGATTGCCATACTTGATATGCTTGATTAAGTTATGGTTGATGTGGTTTTAACAATAATATGTGTTTTTCTGCAAGAGATTGAGTTGGGTGAAAAACTTAGACATGTGAAATTTTTTTGATTAACCTATACAAAAAAAAAATAGATCTTACCCGAATATAAAAACATAAGAAATTATAGTTATTTCTTGGATTTATTTTATACAAAAAGTAAATATTTACTATTTCAAATATATCATGAATTAATTATTAAACTTGATTGCTTTGTTTGATTAATTTACAAGAAAAAACGAAAGAGAAAATGATCGCTGAGATTGAAGCAACATTTGATTGTTCATGTCAATATGCAAGACCTAGAACATCGGATATTCGCAGAAGTTGTTGGAAAAGAAAGACATGGTTGGGTCCAAAGCCTTTGATTGGGTTTAACTCCATCTAACTACTATAGATATAGCTCTCAACAATTTACATTGTCAGTAAGTCAGTTTTCATGAGACATATCCATGTTGAGAAAGGTGTTGCAAACTATGCAACTACGTGTCAAGCAAATAGAAGCAAAAAGAGAAGCAGTGCATGCCAAACTAGAAGAAGAGTGTGCTAGAATTGAAGAATAGCATGCTGGAACAAATTATATATTTAGATATTTAAATATTTTTAATATTCAGTTTATAAATTTAAATTCATTTTTATTTCTTTCAATAAATTTTTATTTAATTATAATAGTAAATATTGAAAGAAATTAAAAAAATAAAATTTCTAATTTAGTAGTGTTTGCAATGAAAAACGCCACTAAATTACAAAAAATTAGTAGTGGCATTTTTTTCCAAAAATGTCAATAAATTTAGTAGCGATTTTCCCACAACCGTTATTAAATTTAACGATATTTGTGCTCTAAAAATATTACTAAATTTAGTGGTTTTTTGGTCCAAAAACGTTGTTAAAACATTGCTATATTCTCCCATGCAAGTATAACCGATACTCTTAATGGTGTTTTTAGGAAGCACTGAAAATCGTTTAGGAGCATAAAAAAACCCTAAATAAAAAAATTTCAATTAATGCATTGTTTCTTTTCAAATTTAATAAAAACAATGCATTAAATGCAATTTTTTAAACAATAATTAAATAATCCTTAATGGTTAACCAAATTTTTTCATTTTTTATTAAAAATGATAATTATTCACTTAAATTTTAGAGCATGTAAATTCATGCAAGTTGTTAAATTTTTACTTTTTTTAAAAAAATATTATTACATATTTTTAAATATTTCCTTATGATTATATTAAAATATAATGCAATATTAAGTTTGAATAATTTTCTTAATGAATTTTTTTACTATAATTAAAAGTTAAATAATAATTTAATTATAAAACTTAAAGTATTTTTAAGTTTCTATTCAAAATATTTTTTATTATTTTAATTATTAATTTATGGGTTAATGTTGTGAATAGCCCTTAAACTATATTAAAATGTTCAATTTAATACCTGAACTTTAAAAATCTCTAATAAAATACTTGAACTATTACTTTATTAATTAGTATGGTATTTGATGGGTTATTTGTATTAGACTTGAATTGATTCTCATTTTAAAAATGACAAATATTAAGCCAAATAAGCTTAATTAAGATTTTAAAAAATATTTATTTAGTACTTTCTCTTAAGTTTTATTATTTTTTGTACTAAATAAATAATATATTTTTCAAAATGATATTTAATTTGAAAATATCTTGAAATTTTGTTTTAAAAGATTGGTCTTAATGTTTATATAAAAAATACAAATTTCTCATATTGACAATTGTTTGAAAAATGTTTTCTAAAGTTTAAACAAACCTTTCTTTATATTTTATATTTCTCAAATCAAAACTATATTTAAAAATTATTTATTTGAGTTTAAATGAAAGTTCAATTGTTGTTTTTAAGGTGAACTTATTCATCATGGACTCAATACAGTCTTGATAATATTGGTTTTGAGAAATGAATTAACTTAAGAAAGTTATCTTATAAGAGCAAAGTTTTCTAACATTAAATTTGTTTTATTTTTCTGTATTAATTTACAAAGTTTTAATACTGAAATTTTATATGGATGGAAAGCTCTTTGAGTCTACTTTTTAATGGATCAAACAAAATCAAAATCCAAATTGTTTAAGAAAAGATTTTGAATTTTTACTAGAGACTATGCAAGTTGTTTAACAACTACACAATGGTTGGATTTGGAAATTCACTATAATTTTTACACATTGAATCATATTATGAATTTTATATGGATAGAAAGTCCCTTAAATCTAGTTTCTAAATTTTTAAACAGATATTGATTTGGAGTTATATAACTTAAAATATAATCAAACCAATAAGTATAGTACAAAACAAGATTTAGTTTAAAGATTTCGAGTACACTATTCATCTAAAATTACCCCGTACGCAAAACCAACTTAACCTGATCGATCTCCTCTCAAAATGGATTGATCCAATCTCCTACGATGATCAAAATTTAAATTAAATTCAAAAACTAATCAATCCATTAATGTACTCGATCAATCCTTTCATCCTTGACAGCCTCCAACAGTTAGTTTTTTAAGATATAAACGTGCATTTTGTTCTCAAAACAATTCCCAATGGCTTCAAGCATATTTTCTCTATAAAAGAGACTCTTCCAACACCATTGAAGCCAAGAGACAACACCAAAAAAGCATTAATTCAATTTCTTCAAAAAATTCAAGAAAAATCATGTGTTTAGAGCTTAAATTTAATCCTTATATTCAATATCCATTTGTATCCATTAGTCACATTCTGTATGTATTTGATGAACAACCAACCTTTGTGAGGTTATTTAGTTTGCAAAAATACTTGTACCTCATTTGAGATTATGGGTTTAAAGGGAGTGAAACCCTTGGGTGCATTTGTAAGATTTTGAGAAAAATTATTGAGAGTTTTTTTGTCTATTGTACTCTTAGTGTTAAATAGGCTATTTGTAAGAATTAACATATAGTGGATTGTGTTTAGCTAGTACAGTTAAGGGAAAAGATGTAAGTGCATTTGAAAAATGATTAAACCTTTATAAATTCTTGTGTTTGATTTTTTCTCTGCTTATTTTATTTTCATTGTTATTTGTATTTGTTTCAATTTTATTAGTTGTTGTTTATTGCATCATATTTTCATTAAAAACTATATTGATTTTAATTTTTCATTCAATTTAATTGAAATTTATTTTTGAGAAAGAATTTGGAAACAATCCAATTAACTCTCTCTTGAATTGTTATCTACACTTGAGCTAACAGTTTGTGCATCATATGTTATTATTTGGAGCTAGCCAAGTTAGGGATAAATACCACATTAGTTAATAAATTTATAATTCAAATACCATATTAAAATTTTTTTAAATTCAGATACTTCATTAAATATTTCACTATAATTTAAAAATCATTTACAATATTAACCCTTAATTTATTTGTATCAAAATTTTATAAACTTTTTATGTCCTACATGCTCGAGGTGAAAACTAGTTATCAAACATGACAACTTATACAATTCAATTCTAGAAAAATAATAGATAAAAAAACAACTCTCAAAGTACAAATTAGAGAATCCTTATCTATATTACCATTTACCTAAACATATAGATATCATTACATATCATTTAAATTTCATAAAATAAACCTTTAATTAATATGAGAATACGGATAAGCAATCAATCAATTTAGGTCTAAAAAAATAAAAATTAATTTAATTGATTTTTTTAAAAATATAATTAAATTGATTTATTTATTTTTAATAATTAAAAATAATCAAATTGATATAAGAGCAATGATTTGATCAAAAAAATAATATTTTTTCATAATTTTCTTACCATTAATTTTAATAATTTTGTAATCATTTTCATTCAATAAAATCTACCTTATAATTTTACCACTAATATCATATTTATCATTCTTAAAAATACAAATAAAATATATTATATATTTATATTATTATATAATATATTTAAAAATTTATCAAAAAATCAATTAATTTTATCAATTATTAATTTAAAAAATAAAAAATCAATCTAATTAATATATTAAACCTATAATTTAACTTACAATTATCCAAATTAATCTAACTAAATTGATTTGATCAAATTCAATTAATTTTTATTAATCAAATTAGTTGATATCGACTTTATATTGATTCATATGTGAATCTAATATTATTTATATTCAAAAAGTTTAAATTTTTTTATTTTTAACTCTACAAACAATTAATATCACTTTTAGCTTTTAGTGAACCACTATTTTTAGTTCAATATAAGTAAAAAATAATTATCAATAAATATAATTATTATTAATTATTTTTTCAAAAAAATTATTATTTATTTTTGAAAAAATCATAAATTACTTAAAGAATTTTTTCTTCACTAGATTTTTACTTTGCATAATCTGATGATTTTTTGAAAAATTTATTTCAACGCTATACGACTGAACCTGCCGACCCAGTGTTAACTCACCACGCGATCAAGCGAACCCGAAACGGGGTGTTTGTCCCGTAAGGTGGGCAACCCGAGGCAGCGCGCTGTGCGTGCGCGTATTTATATTTGTATCGCATGTAGCTACAGACCTTTACAGAAGCGACTTCCCAAAGTGCCCTAATCTCCCTATCTACTACCGATCTGCATTCTTTTTCGTCTCCTCCCATCTCAAAGTCTCTTATTATTCAGGTATGTTTGCTATCTCCTCTTCTTGTTTTCTTTCTTCTTTTTTTTTCGCCCTGAATTTACTAAGTTAGGGTTTATTGGATATCTGAAAAGTGATTCGTTTTTCTTGGTTGTGATTCAACTTCGTGTTTCTTTTCTTCTCGGCTTTCTTTTATTTACTTTGTTCCTTTTCTTCTGGGAAATCTATCATTTTTCATTTCGAACAGAGAATTTCAAATTGATTTTTGGATTCTGTTTGATAGTTTGCTTGTTGAGTAAATATTTTCTTTCTTTTGTTAATCTGACAGACTGGGATCTTTTTCTTTCCTATTCTTCAGGGTTTTTCTTATTTTTTTTCGGTTTCCTGGGGAAAGGCTTGTCGACTACTTCGGTTCTGGGGTTTTCCCTAAATTGCGCATAAGGTAGGCAGCTGCATCTAATTTTTTACTTTTTATTGTTTTGTTTTTTTAATTCTTTAATTCTAATATTGTTGTTGAGACAGGATTACGTTCATCATATAATACTGCAAGGTTAAAAGAAAATTTTACTAAGAATTAATCTATGCTTTCAACATGTATATGGTTAGAACTAAAGAGTTTTATATGAGGGATTCTTTAATTTTCAACAAGGGTTTCATCCAATGTGTTCCCATAAAATAGTTCAAAATAGACGTAAAACAATACAAGGATTTTGTTTGGTCGGCCATATGACTACTGATAATTTAGTAGAAACTATTTCAAAGATAACAGTTTGAATTGTCATCTTGACAGAATTTAGAGGTCATGGACTAAATGAGGGGTTCTAATGGTTATAACTCTAGCAAATCTGTTTTTAAGATCTCTTATCTTATGTTCATAGAGTGTGGTTTCATGGTTTAAACAGTAATGATAATCTTGCTTATCATGCTTGCTTGCACAATCTCTTTCTTATATTGATGCTATCAAATGATGGAAGAACTGACAATGTTTTTTCTCTTCTGTGAGATGTACTTCTGGTCATCATCGTACCTAAATGCAGGTATTGAGTTGGTTTTCTTTTCTAAATGGACTGCAAGAAGTTCATTCAATTGGTTGAGGAGAAAAAGAAGAGAGCTTTGGAGAAGAAAGAAGCCCCTTTGAAATGGGAGCAGAAGCTAGAAGCTGCTGCATTGGCAAAGGTGGATGTTGAGGCCAAAGAGAGGAGGTCAAAGAGTGTGAAGCACAAAAGATGTGCTTCTGAGTCTGATACCAACAGTGACAGTACTGGTGGAGGGAGAAAAAGGAGGAGAACCCACAAAAAGCATCGGAAGAATGCCCACTGTGATTCAGGTGAGTGTGAGAAGAAAAAGGACAAGAAGTCAAAGCGAAGGTCGAAGAGACGAGCATTAGGCTCTGATGATGATAGCAGTGATGAGTACAATAGTGGTTCTGAAGAAGAGAGGAGGAAGAAAGGTGAGTGTGAGAAGAAAAAGGACAAGAAGTCAAAGCGATGGTCGAAGAGACGATCATCAGGCTCTGGTAATGATAGCAGTGATGAATATGATAGTGGTTCTGAAGAAGAAAGGAGGAAGAAGCCAAGCCACCGAAGATGGAAGCTTAATGATTTAAGATCAGATTCAGAATCTTTTGATTCTTCAAATGATGATGAAGCTGGAAGTGTGTCTGTGCCCAGAAGGCAAAGCCATGCAAAGCACTATAAACGTCATCGACTATCAAATAGTGTTGACTCTGGTTCACTCAATTCTGATGGTGAGAAAGGTTATCGAAAGAGCCAGCCTTTAAGAAAGTCATCCGATGATGATCATGAGTCAAGGCACAAGAGCAGTGGTCACTGCTGCCAGCGTCACCATCATCATCATCATCACCTTCACAGACATCGACCACAGTCTGATGAAGAGAAAAATCTGCATCATCAGTCCGAAGCAAAGAGTCGTATGATTGAGCATTCAGTTGAACCCAATGGAAAGCATCGTGAAGATTACTTTTAGAACAACCTGAAAGATCGGAAATATTGCTCATGATCGTCAAAGTAGATCGGCAGAATCTATTCTAATGTTTGACAAGCCATTTAGTTGATTGGTGGGATATGTTGCAAGTGCTTTTATGTGCACTATAGTTACTGTGACCTTTTACTGGTGGTGAAATTTGTGGAATGCTCTAAATTTTGTTTGTGTTGAATTTGATGAGTGCTCAATTCAGAAGTTTGACTTTCGGTTTGATAATTATTTACAAGTTCTATGCTTGATGGTTACACCTGCAATTAAGCCTAAGCCCAATATAAATGCAAATGTTGTTCAAAATAGATTTGGACTAAAAATGTCAGCCTAAATGGAATTAAAACTAAGGTTAATTTAATTAATTTATTTATGACAAAATAGCGTTAAATTGGCTGGACAAAATAGCATGCTTACCCTAATCGCACCTTTCAATTTTAGTATTGCTGAATGCTGAGTATGAAATACTGATCAGCTCATCTATAAATAGAGCTAGAAATAGCCGCCTCGTTACACTGACGTGATTTTTTTTTTTTTTTGACTAAATTTGTATTTTTATTATTTATTATTTTTAACATATTTATAATTATTTTAAAATAAAATAATAAAATAAATAAAATATTATAAAAATATTAAAATTAATATATACTATCTTATATATTGCGATAATAGTTTTAATTAATTTTTTATACTATATTGTGAATACTATATTTTTTTTAATCACTTGATCATGTGTATGATTTTTAATTTATTGCAGTTTATAAATTCTTTTTGTAAAAATATTTAAAATAAAATAAAAAATACGTTACATTCGAGCCAAATCAAATCCTATATATAAGTGTTGAATGTAAGATTATACGCGTCAGTTCCTTGCCTTTTTTCTTTTTCATTTTGTTATTGTTTTTTTTTTTAAAAATTTTTAATAATTTTTTAAAATTATAAAAAAAATATTTTTAAAGATTTTTTTGGCGTGGGACTTATATTAAACTTTCTTGTTTTTCTACCATGTTTTTACTTTTTTATTTTTTAAAATATATTTACTAAATTAATTTTAGATTTTATTTTTTTTATACCTATTTGATACATAAGGTATGTCACAAGTTTTTTTTCATTTTCTTTCTTTTATTTTTAGATATTGAGTAAATAAATTTTTAGATTTTTTTTCACGAGACTCAATTTTTTTTTTTTTGAAAAGATAAGACTCAATTGATATCAAATGCATGCCATATGTCAAAATAATTTTTTTTACTATTTTAAATAATAAATATATTTAAAAAATTTTAAGATTTCTTAAACATGGGGTCCATTGGATATTACTATTTAAAAAATATATAATGTTTTGTTATTTTTAATTTGATAATTTTTAAAGAAAAAGATATTATTAAAGGTGTGGATGTGAAATTAGGATTTGATTTTTTTTTCATTTTTGAATCCTTTTTTTAGTGTTAATTTTTTTAAATCTATAATATTAATTTCTCAAAAAAAAAAAAATCCATCATTGCTAACATTGCATAACAACTCAACTTTCTTTCTTTCTTTTTTTTTTTTTCATTTTTTCCCTTTCTAAGTTCTTTTCTTCCTTTCTTCTTTTTTTTTTTTGTTTTGTTAAATTAAATCTTTTTTTTTAGAAAGACTAAAGTGTACACATGACACCTTATTTCAATTTATTCGTATATATTTTATTTTAATTAAATAATCCTTGCATAAAAAATTTGATAAATAAATTTTTTAAAAAATATCAATAAAAATATATATGATAAAATAATTCGTATCTAATAGATTTCAATTCATTTAGATTTAATAGATACAAATTATTTTTTAAAATTGAGATCAAGTCGGATATGAGTTTTCGGTGTTTTGTTCTGTCCTAATATATATAACTATATATTTTATTATTCATTTAATTTAATTTTTATATATGTATTATATTAATAAAATTATTATTTTGTATCTTAATTTAATAAACTTTTGTATGTAGGACCTACTTATATTAATTTTTTTGTTTTTCATTTTTTTACCCTTTTTTCCTTTTTTTTTTTAAATATATTTAACAAATAAATTTTAGATTTTTTTTTTTGTGTGAGACCCACTTTATATCAAAGGTCTACCACATGTATTTTTTTTTTCCTTTTTTTCGTTTTTTTTCTTTTATTTTTTATATATTTAACTTTTTTTTTTCGTGACACTCACTTGATGCCATGGTATATTACATGTCAACTTATTTAATTCTTTTCATTTTTTTATTTTTTTCCTACTTACTTTTTTAAAAATATTTAGTACTTTTAAATTTTTTGAATATGGTAACCATTTGATATTATTATTTTAAAATATTTTTTTTCGTTTTCTTTTTTATTTGATAATTTAAAAAAAAAAAGATATTTGCAGATGTGTTGATGTCAAATTTGAACTTAATTTTTTCCCTTTTTTATTCTTTTGTTTTGTTTAGTCTTTTTTAGTTTTTTTAAAAATTCATGATATCAATTTCTCAAAAAAAAAAAACTTATCATTTTGTTATCTGTCAACTCAACTTTCTTCTTTTTTTTGCTTAAGTTTTTTTTTTCTTTCTTTTTTTAGATTAGATTTATTTGAAAAAAAAAAGATGAATGTGTACACTTAGCATCCTATTTTGGTTTTTTTTTTCCTTACATCATTTTTTAAAATTTTTTAATTAAATAATTCTTTCACCAAAAGAAACTTGTAAAGAAAATTTTGAAAAAAAATGTCAATAAAGGTATGTATGACAAAACAACATGTAGAAAATTTTCTATTCATTCAAATCCAATAGATGTATTTTTTTTAATTTAAGAATGGATCGAATTTTTTTCTTTCTAAAATTGACATTAAGTTGGATATGAGTTTAGGATACTTCATCCCACCCTAGTATATATAATTATATGTTTTATTATTCATTTAATTTTATATTTATGTATATGTATTATATTAATAAATTATTGTTTAGTACCTTAATTTAATAAATTTCATGTAATCTCCATTTGACTTTTTTTTTTCTTTTCTTTTTTTCCCATCAATTCCTTTGTTTTTAAATTTTTTAAAAAATTAAAGTTTACTAAGAACAAAATTAATCCATGAAATTATCACAAAAAAAACTCATTATCTCAAGAGTTTTTGTTTTGTCTGATCTAATTTATGCTAATTTTTAGAAACTTAGGAATTGGATCGAGGTTTTCTCGTTCTAAAAATCAAGGTTAAACTAGAGGTTGATTTAGGGTCTTTCGTATTGCCTTAAGTAAATAAATAATTATACTTTTAATTATTTATTTCATTTTATATTTGAATATATTATTGTTATTATTTTATATCTTAATTTAATAAAAATTTTATATTTATACATAATTAAGATTTAATACATCTATCCATCCATTAATTATATAATTTTCATTCATTTCACTTTTGTTTTACCTTCATTTAAGGTATCAATGTGGCATCTTATTTTTTTTACATTTTTCTTCTTTTTTCTTTTTTGTCAATTTTTATTTTAAATTTAAATAAATTTGTTAAAAAAACCTATGAAAATATCAATGCATCGCCCTAATTTATTTTTTAATTATATAAATTTTGTAACAAAAAAGAGTCAATGAGTATAGATAACAAAACAATTAGCACCTAATAAATTTTGATCTGACTCAATCCAATAGAGGATATTTTTTTAAATATTTTATTTTTTTAATTTTTTTATTAGATAAATTTTGTAAGAAAATGATATCAATAGAAATATCCACATAGCACTCCATTTTATTTATTTGCTTTTGTATTTTTTTTGTTTTTGTGTTTTTAATTTGATCAATTTTTATAATAAACTGAACCAATCGATAAGGATAATAAAGCAATTAATATCCAAGAGGTTTCTATCGTCTTGATTCGAATTGAATATTTTTGTAAATTATATTTTATATTTTTCATGTTGACAGAATTATGATATGTAATTTTCATATAAAATATAATATGAATATATAAATTTTCACTGCTTTACATGAACAAAAATATATGAATTGCTATGTCTATCTGCAATACAGAAGCACCTTTTTAGTAGATTATGAAATAGTTAATTTGAAAGTTTTAAATAAAATAAGACAATATAGGAAAATAATACAAAAAAATGAAAATAATGTGATTTAAAATTTTAATAAAAATTATATGAGTTTGTCAAAAATAAAAAATATGTTTTATGTTTGACTTATCTATTCTTTTCGTATTTTATAACATTAAACATAAAATATAAAGATACAAATACACTAATTATCCGATCTAAAAAAATTAAATCGAAACACCTCCTGTCCCCATTTCACTAACAAAAGCAATACTAAATCACATCTATAATCTTGTACTATAACAAAGGGATTGCTTGTTTGACATTTGGCCCATTTTAATTGGTTCGAAATTTATTTATTCTTTATTTAATTGAAAGAAAAAATGAGAGGTGATAAAAAAATACAAAGTAGAGATAAAGAAAAAATGAATTAAAAAAGGAAAAATGGAGAGGAAGAATGAGAATTTTTATGGTTTGCTTTTTTCATAATGGGACAGTGACATCAAACATAATAACGAAACAAATAAAAAAATTTGATTTAAAATTATAGTGTTTGGATTGATATAAATTGGTTTTTCTCTTATTTGATTCAGTCTATTATCAAATATTTTATGTTTTAATTTGATTTGATTGTCGGATAAAAAAAGATCAACCGAAAATATTCAAATTGAACAAAACTATAAATTTTTATTAGTTTAAATTTTATAAATAAAAAATAATTATTTTATATTTAAATCAATTTAGAGATATTTAAAATAATATAGAATAATAAAAAATTTTAAATAAATAATTAAAAAAAAGAACCAAATTGATGTAATTTAGTTCGAAACAATTCGATTTCTTAAAAAAAATCAATGAATATAGTTCAGGTTTTGAAAATCCATAATACCATATGTTAATCAAAATAATTAAATTAAATTCAATTTGTTATCAACTCTAAATAAAATAATTTTTCTTTTTACAAAACCTTCACCCCTAAATAAAATATTTTTTCTTTTTACAAAATTTTCATCGTAGTTACTTTTGCATACTACACTCCTATCGCTAGTTTAGTACATATTCAAATAAGACTTTTATTTGAGATTGTTATTACAACTATTCAAATTATTTTTTAATGCTTCTTTATAGGTATTATAAATAGGAATGCTAACCCAATTACTAATTAAAACAAATTAATTGATTAACCCATACTAGCAGGGGTAACACACTAGTCTCCGATGAAAACCACGGCATATGTTACCATTACCATCTATTTCTACTGGTGTCATAAACGAAATGTTAGCTAGCTCAACAAAAAATTATTCGATTCTGTAGTTCACATCTAAATGGAAACGGAACTCGTACCCACAAATTAGAAAAGTTGAAATCCGATTAGCCAATGGAACTTGAGATGGAGGGAAGTCCTTGGATCCCAAGGATTTAAGAAACACCAGAGTTCCAAACGCATTTCCCATCCGCACAAATGGCAGTCAGAAACGATAGATATAGGGCATCCAGCCTTTTCAAGGAAAAATAATGTACACATCCATCTTCCATTTTCCCTCGTTAAAAATAACAAGAAAAAAGAGGGCTTTGGGAGAACAGGCCCCAGTTCTCACTCATGAGTAAACATCATTAACACATATATCAGAAAAAAAAAAAAAATCTGTTACATTTGAAACCAAAAAATGAACAGTCCTGTTGCTGGCATTGCCAACACCACCTATATTATTTTCGCAATTATCCAGGTGATGATAAAGGTAATGTAAGGATTTAATTAGGCTGCAGATTCCTTGGCAATCTTATCTGCCTTAGCAATGACTTCCTCAATCCCTCCAACCATGTAAAATGACTGCTCAGGAAGGTCATCATACTTTCCATCCAACACTCCCTGTAAAAATCATACATTAAGGAAGAATGCTATTAATATCAGACTCGTGTAATAAAGGACTAAAAATTGAACATAATCAGAGTGTAATCAGATGGATTATCTTGATCACGATATGTTTTGATCAAAATGGTTATGAACCTTATCAATGAATTCTCATAAAAAAAAGCTGGTTCCGAATATCTATCTGAAAGCAAAGTCACATGCCCTTTTCCAGCTTCATATTATCTATCTAAACCACAAATTGATATGTCACCCCACAATAACCAAGAAATTAGCATAATCCCTCTGCCTGGAGTTAGATATATGGATCACATTACACTATTTTGCTCTATTTTAAGACAATCTTATCCATGTATAGCTCGGCATTGTGAGAAATAACAACTTGGGCACTACATAAAACATCGGCCGATGCATTAAAAAAACTTGTAAAATGCTACACTTATTTTAATAATAAATAAAGGATATCATACCATGGATCCACCCATTATAAGAAAATAATGACTTGCTCATTGACACTCTGATACAATAAAAGCAAGCCAGGCAGAGAGAAAATCATACCTGGAAGCTGGTGATGCTCTCATTCAACTCCACATACTTGCCAGGGGCACCAGTGAACACTTCAGCCACATGGAAAGGCTGGCTCAAGAACCTTTGGATCTTACGAGCACGGGCAACAGTTAACTTATCATCTTCACTAAGCTCATCCATTCCCAAAATGGCAATAATATCTTGTAAGTTCTTGTAGTTTTGGAGAACCTTCTGCACACCACGAGCAGTATTGTAGTGTTCCTCGCCCAAAATGTGAGGGGAAAGCATACGAGATGTAGAATCCAAAGGATCCACAGCAGGGTAAATACCAAGCTCAGAGATCTGATAATAAAGAAAAAAAGATCGCAAGTGTTACGAGCAGAAAGCACAAAGTAATCATAAAGTAACATCAGATAGAATAACTCCTCAACAGCCGCATATAGATATGTATAATACCTGCCGTGACAACACAGTTGTGGCATCCAAGTGAGCAAAGGTTGTTGCAGGAGCTGGATCTGTCAAGTCATCAGCAGGCACATAAATGGCTTGCACAGAAGTGATAGAACCCTTCTTGGTGGTGGTAATACGCTCTTGAAGACTTCCAAGATCAGTAGCCAAAGTTGGTTGGTAACCAACAGCAGACGGAATACGACCAAGCAAAGCAGAGACTTCTGAGTTTGCCTGCAGGGAAAAAAAAACAATTCAAACCATCAGCAATGTGCAACACAAACTGAAAAGTGCTTCAAAGCTTCCACAATAACCCAACTTACTTGAGTAAAACGGAAAATGTTGTCAATAAAGAGAAGAACATCTTGCCCTTCAGCATCACGGAAGTGTTCAGCCACAGTCAAACCAGTAAGGCCAACACGAGCACGAGCACCAGGGGGCTCATTCATTTGACCATAGACAAGAGCACACTTGCTTTCAGCCTGTAACAATGGCAAAATGAAAAGCCACATGGGATAAGATATAAAATAATATATATATATATGGAAATGCAAACAAGATGAATATATACTTGTATTTACCTGCTTGTCACCTAGCTTAATAACACCACTCTCAATCATTTCCCTGTACAAGTCATTACCCTCTCTAGTACGTTCTCCAACACCGGCAAAAACTGAGAAACCACCTGAGTACAGAAACAAGTAATATAAGAATAATAAACAAAGTACAAAGTGGGAACCAACCACAAATATAATGTAACACCAACCATGAGCTTTAGCCACATTGTTGATAAGTTCCATAATAAGCACCGTCTTCCCTACACCAGCACCACCAAAAAGCCCAATCTTCCCTCCTCTTTGATATGGTGCAAGGAGGTCGACAACCTGCAAAAGAAAGCAAGAGAAAAAAGTTTTGAACCTAACGTACTCTCATCTGGATTCAGACAACACCAAACGTGTGAATAGAAGATCATTCTGATACAGCATAGGATCTTTTAACAAAAGGGAAAAAATACAGCATAGCATCAAAGGCATGCAGAATTGCACGCAATAATGAGTACCTTAATACCAGTGACAAGGATTTGTTGTTCAGTAGCTTGATCGACAAAAGCTGGTGCTTCTCTGTGAATGGGCAAGAAATGGTCGGTTTCTGTTAAACATTTAAACTCAGTCAGTTAGACTTTTATTTCAGCACACCATAAAGTAAACTGCTCAAATGATTAAAAAGTTTGCAAATCTCTTACTGAGTTCGCCTTTCTCGTCAATAGGCTCTCCAATAACATTTATGATACGTCCAAGTGTAGCTCTACCAACAGGCACCTAACGTGAACAAGCAGGCATAACTAAGAAGATCATGAAATTCAAACAAAATTTTTTATAATCTAGACAGCCACAAAATGGTAAAGAGCCCATCAAATATATAAAAAAAAAGGCAGATACCAAAAAAAAAAAGAAGAAAAGCTCGATATACGAGGGAAACCTCGAGTCCCTGAATAAAATACCCAAATCATGGATGACACGTCAGAGGAAAGCTTTTCTGAGAAATATTTTTATCAATCCAAAGGGCAACAAATGATAAAGCATGAGTGAATATCGTTTGGTATTTTTTTTAAAATCCCACTTAGATAGCTAAGAAACTCATGAATACGTAATGGGTTTTAATTAGATGCCCCACAGTTTCGAAAGCAAAATTCACTGAAAAATGACTCTAAAAAAGTAATCTTTAAGCTTGTTTGAACAAAAGTTTCTCACTTATTCCAGATCAGATTCCGATGAAACACAATAAGATCTATAAATCTAATCATATCTCCATCTTCATTTCACTTCATCCCCTAGTTTCTAGCTCCAAAGCACCAAACAAAATCAAAACAGACAAGAAATTCCCGATAAAATCTCATCATTCGCAATCGAAAATATAACACTTTTAAGAGAAGAAAATGTTTACAGTGATAGGAGATCCGGTATTAAGCACGGGCTGCCCTCTAACAAGTCCCTCCGTTCCATCCATAGCAATGGTCCTAACCACGTTTTCACCCAAGTGCTGTGCCACTTCCAGCACAAGCCGGATCGAGTGGCCCATCACTTCAAGCGCCGTCAAAATCGGAGGCAAACCTTCATCGAATCTCACATCGACGACGGCACCTATCACTTGACAAACATGACCGATGGCTCCTGCTCCTGTGAACTCATCAGTGATCTTACCTCCTCCGCCTTTCTTAGCGGGAGGAAGCTGCGATGGAGCAGGAGAAGCGGCTGCAGCCGCAGATGTGGCGTACTCAGCATCGCGGGAGAGAAAGTAGGCGTAAGGAAAAGGGCGGCGCGTGGTGTAAGGTGAAGGCAGGCGATGGTTGGAGTTTAAAGATTTGGACAGAGATCGGCGAGAAGTGGCGCGGAGGAGAGAAGAGAGGATATGACGTGAAGCCATTGATCACGGCTTCCAGAAAGAGGCGCGAGGGTTTTGATGAGAAGAGCTCTGTTGAGACTGACATCAGCTTGTTGTGTTACTTGTTATAGGGCTGAGAGTCTCGTGGAATTTTTACTGTTTTACTGTGCGGATTATTTTTTCCTTTTTCGGATTTTTTTACTTTACTTCACTTTTTCGAACTTTTACATTTTTTAAGTGGTTAGACTTAGACGCCATCTTTTTACCTTGAACCTCGGGGAAATTCCCAAATTGAGGCTGGCTGTTGTTGAACTAGCGAGTAGACCGGCACTTTTTGGTGGCGTAGACCGGCAGTTTAATATAAAAGAAACTATTTATGATGCGTCCAATCAATTTTATTTATTTAAGGATTAATATGTAAAATAATTTTTATAATTTTTATTTTTTTATTAATATGATATTTAAAAAAATTAAATTTTCATCTCGATATTTAATTTTTATTGCATCAATTATTTTGATATTTTATATTATTACTATTAATTAAATGATTGATGTGGCATAAATAAATAATTAAATTATGTCATATATCATAAATATTTAATTATTACGTTTATCAAAAATTAAAAAATAAAATTTAATTTTTTAAAATAAAAAGAATTAAAAAAAATCATAAAAGTAAATAATATGGCAATGATTGGATATGTGTACGATAATACATAATTCTATTAAATATTAATATTAAGTAAGCAACTTTATTATTAGTATTAATTTGAAATATTAAAATATTTGATAGAATGAGAGTTTGAGTATCAAAATATGTAAGAAAAATTTACAGGAGATATATACGAATAATATCATATATATATATATATACTTACCTATTAAACAGAAGCGAAAGTGAAAAAAAATCAAATTTAAATTATTGGTGGTTGAATAAAATCACAATATGAAAATTATTTGATTTCACAATGTGAATTCTTCATACCAAATGCAAAAATATCCTCACTGAGAGTTATTGAAATGCCTACTTTACTTTCTCTCTCTCTCTCTTTTCTTTCTTTTTTTGTGAAAGATTTTTCTCTTCGTATTCTCTATTATATGTTAATGGCCCAATGCTTTTTATTCAAGCACTAAAATATAGACAGCATTTTTTTTTTTGTAAAAAGAAAAACTACCTAAAGTAAATTAATAATAAGAAAATAAACTGCCAAGGCAGTTGGTTTCATTGAGTTAAGCCTATTAGCTTTTTAGGTGAGATGGTGATTCAAAATGAAGGTGAATTGAATTTCTTCAAATTCTTCCAAAATAATGATTTTAATATAATTGAATGAAAAATTAAGATCAATATCAAAATATGATGCAAATAATAATAAATTGATAATCTTAAACTAAGTTCAAAGTAAAGAGATAAGAATAGAAAAATCAAATACAAGGATTTATAGAGGTTTGATCCTTCTCCATAAGGCACCTATGTCCTCTCTTTTTAGTTGTCTATACCAAAGCTTCAATTTACTATTCTTGAATTGAAAATTACAACTCTATCTTTTTTTAAAACTTAGATAGCAACCTAACATTCTTTTTTTTCTAGGCTAAGTAGCAATATTTCAATCTCACAAATTCGAGAGAATATCTCACATCTTGATTATAAATCACTTAAAAGAAATGCAAACTTAAAACACATCTCAAAAGCTAAGTATTTGTCAAGTTTAAGTACAAGAAAATGATGAATGAACAAAAATATGAATTGGATATAATAAATACAAAAGACATGGAATTTTGAGCTCTAAAACTTTTAATTCTTTGAGAGAATAATATATTGCTTGTTTGATCTTACTTTCTTGATTCATCAATTTTCTTGATGTGTTGAAGTGCCCAATTTATAGAGGAATTGAAGAACTAGTTGGTAGGAATGGTTTGGAAGAAGAAATACTTGTTGGAAGCTTGAAAAATTAGCCGTTAGAGTATTTCTGGGTAGACCTAATCGATCCTTCTTGAAGGGATCGATTGATTCATGTTTTGGATGCCATTTTACGCTTAAAAAACACAACCTGATCGATCCCTTTATGTAGGGGATTGATCCTATCAAACGAATGATCGATCCTCTACATAAGGTGATCGATCCATTTTTCAATCCTAGAGCAAAAAATTCATTTTGGGTAAACCAATCAATCACTTTTTGAGGAGATCGATCCTATTTGCTGGGTGATTGTCTCATGTTTTGTACTCCACTTACTAATTTGATCATATCTTGAGTTATACAATTCTAAATCAAAAATCGTTTGACGATTTAGAAACTAAACTTAAAAGGCTTTCTATTCATATGAACTTTATCACCTAATTCATTGTATATGAATTATAATGAATTTTTAAAACTATCATTTATGTAGTTTTTAGACATTTCAAAATGATGTTTTGTTATTTCAAAATAAAAATCAATTCAAGGCTAACAAAACCCATTATAGGCGGCTAACAAAGCCCATTATAGGCGGTTATTCCTACAAAATGAGAATTTTATTTTTTTAAATATCAAATTGAAAAAATATATATAATATATGAATCATTTTTATATTTAATCCTTTATTTAAATATATTTATAAATATATAAATTAATATTATTTAATTTATATGTTTAAGATATAAAATACATATAATATAATAAAAATATTATATAATCTAAGTCAATATCATAGATATATATTTTTAAATATTGTCCCATATATTTTGAATTAAAAAAAATCGTACGATAAGTGATATGTGTTATTGAATTTAAAATATAAATAATAAAAAATTATGAAAATATTTATAAAGATAAAAATTATATTGAGATTTTTAAATTTAAAAAGAAATATTTTTAACTTTCTATTCATTGAAATTATTTAAAATAAAAACTCATGTTTGAAATGAAAGAATCATAATTGGACTGCATCAAACTTTATCAGATAAAAAGTATTTTTGAAATTTCAAATAGTTATTATAATTTAATATTGTCCTTCAAACAACGTGTTATATTAAAATGCAAAATGATAAAAGAAACATGTATAATGGAAAAAAAAGTTTTTTACACAATAAGCATAAAAAAAATCCAAAGTATTGGAATAAATAAAAATGTTTTCATTTGTTTTCTTAAAGAAACCAAAGAATTTGATGTTCATAATTTATGGACCAATTATGTATTATTGTAAAAATTTTTTTACCATTTTGAAATATGAATAGGATTAAACTACTAAAGACACCTCTAACATAATTTATTTGATATGTTAATTTAGTTAATTAATTATTAACAAGTCTTGAAATTGATTAGCTTTCCAAATTAAAGCTTATTTTTTTTTCTTTTAGTCTTTTTTTTTTTACATGAGCCACTGAAGTTGGTAGAGAATGTTGATTTGTTTAACCATTTGATTCATGAATTATCTCTTGATTATTCTTTAAAATATTGAAAAAGCATTTAGTTTTTTTTTTATTATTATTATAGATTATGCATTTGAGAAAATATTTTTTTTTCCAAAATGTAAAACTTTTATTACTTAAAGGAAGTATCCAAAACATACTCCAAAAGTTTACATCAACAAAACAACACACAAACAACTTTCAAGCATTATGAGAGTTTTCCCCAATACACTTCTTTTATTCAAGTTTTATCTATTTTCAGTGTGGGTATGGCAAGCCATCCTTATTCAATATAAAAGTCAAAGAAAATGGAGGTTTTTCAACCTAACTTTCAGGTTTCATCTCCTTTCTACACTGCTTTGCCAATTAGTCCTTAAGACTACTAGAAATTTATTTATTACCAATGAAATTTTTTTCGTTGCTAATTACGGATAGAATACCAACAAAATTAAAAAAAAAATAAACCGATGGATTACCAATGAAATTAAATATATCAATAATTCATCGCTAAAAGTGTAGAGTGAATTGCCACTGATTTTACTAACAAAAATTTCCTTCGATAAATTCATCGTTAAAAGTTACCAAAGGAAAAATTTATTGCTAAAAAAATTAGCAAAATTTTTTTTTTGACATTATCAATGAAAATTCTATCAGTAAATCCGTTGCTAAAACCATAAAATTTCAAATACCCATTTTAATCAAATCCATTTTCCCCTAGTTTCTATTCCTAAATCCCTAATTTGCTTTCCCTTCCCCTCTCCCCTTTTGTCTCCCTCCACCTTGTCGTAGCTCCTTCCTTTCATCCAAGTATGTTGGTAGCCGGTATTGTCACCTTTCCCGTCCGGTAAATTTCTTTTAAATATTTTACTTTATATTATGTTTTTTGTAGTATATTTGTTGAGTTTAGGGTTTAATTTTTTGTTATAAATTTGTTGAAGTTTAGGTTTTGGTTACCAATGTATTAAGTTTTTGTTGGTTATTTATTTGTTAAAATTTGTTTGGGTTTTGATTACCAATTTGTTGAGTTTTTGTTGGTTTTATATTTGTTGAGATTTATTTGGGTTTTAGTTATATAGTTATTGAAATTTGTTGATTATATATTTTTATGTATATTTTTGGTTGAGTATTAATGTTGAGTATTGTTAATTTTTTTTATTTGTCTTTAGTATTATTGGGAAATTTTTTATTTGTTGAGTAATTTATTTTTTTATTTGTGAAAGTTTTGTTGAGTTTTATTGGGTTTTGTTATAAATTTATTAACTTTTATATGTGTAAGATTTATATTGGTTAATTTAGGTTTGATGTGTATTAAGATTTGTATATATTTTGATGAATGTTTTTATATTTAATATTTTCTAAAATTTAATAATAATTATAAAAATTAAAATTATTTATGTCGATTTGAGATTATAGTTTATATATTACTAATTTATATATTGTTTTGAAGTAATTTATATATTATTAAGATTTATATTTGTTTTGAAGTGATTTATATATTTGATAGTTTAGTGAAATTTATATATGACTAATTATTGAAATATTGTGGTTTTATTGTATTGATCAAATTTAATATAAATAAATTACATTGTTATATTTTATTTTTCTTTTTCATAATCTATCCATGAATGTATGTTATGAAAGTGGGTTTAGGTGGGTGTATTTCTCTAATGAATATGATTTTTTATTTATTTTCATCATACTAACTTGCTTTATTTTTCATTCT